GTTTACCACTTCATTTTATTAACTTTCACTCATTAGAGAGCAGTAGAGCTTTCCAGTGTGACAACAGCCAACTTCTTCAGGGCCCACTGCATGTCAGCTTTCCCCATGCTGGCCTTTTGGGGATTTTTCTGAAGAAAGGATTGGACATATGATTTGTTTGTGAGTTGTTGGGAAGGTTGACAGGGACAACAAACGAAAATGAGGGGCTGCTTGGTTTTTCATGCAAGAAGCCCTCTGTACATACTTGACTGAGTCTTACCTGTCCCCTTTCCAGACAGCACAGCAAGATAAAAATTCATCATTGACTTTGATGAATAGCAGAGGAACTGGGATGGGGAAAACCTGTCTCCTGACCCTCATCTCCCCTTTGATAGCATGGGACTAGAGCAAGTCATTACCTGATCCCCACCTGCTCACAATCTGTCTTCTTGGGGCTGTTTCCATGGTCTAAAGTTACACAAATCACCACTTTTGTGAGGAATGCAGAGGTATGAATAGGGGCTGAGGGATTCCTAGTCCTGAGCCTTACAAATGCTGCTTGTTCATTCCGATTTGTAGAAGAATAAGAATACTCTTGGAGCGTCTAGGTTTTGTTTGCTTCCCTCGTCTCATCCTCCCACCCACCCTCCTAAACACTTGTAATACTTACAAGTGCTTGTTTCACATTTCTGGATTCCCAAGGAACTGTGACACTGAGCAGAGAGGCCTGTGGCACTGACACTGAGCATTGGAAGAACACTTCTGTGAGGTTGTTAGCTTGCTCCCAAACCTCCAAACATTCCAGAATCACTTCGCTCATTACACTGCTCCCCTGTGAAACAGAGGATTCGTTTTAAAATTCTCTTTCTGATCTGCAAGACCTTCAGTGGTCCGTTTCCTGCAAACTGGCTCAAGCTCTTTTCCCCACTTGCACTGCAGGTTCCAACCCACTGATCATCATTTACTGCTGGCCTTAATGCCAAAATACCAGAGACCTTAACCTTTTTTTTTTTTTTTTTCATCACACAACAGGAATGCTTTGCCAGTTTGCAGCCCACTCACTGAAACAAGAATGTTTTGCACATGAATGCCATTCTGGAATACTGCAGCATGTGCTGGCCCACTGCTGATACAATTACATTTTGATGATGCTGTTATGACTTCATTTTTCAAGTACTTCAGTGTATATTCAAACAATGTAGATGAAACCTAGTACCTTGGAGTTTTGATGTTTTGATTTTTTTTAATTTTTGTAGATCTTAGAAGTAGTTATGTAGTAAATGTAGATTTTAGAGTAGCAGCATATTATCCCTTTACCACACCAGCTCAAACCCGTTACCCATTCCCCTATGAATTCCCTAAATTCCACAGCCTGCTTAGTCTCTTTTTCAAGGTAGAATTGTAGAAGAACACCGTAACCCTACGGAAGAAGATACAGCCATAGACTCAACAACCTTCAGGCCTAGAATTCTGGAAGGCCTCCAAGGACATTACGTGCTCTGAAGACGATGAAGAAGAAGAGGGGGTCCCAAAACGCCCCCAGACCCAATTTCCAAGAGGCGTGGCAGGGGCAGAACCTGGGTGGTGGCAAGATGAGGATTGGGCGAAAATCATTGTACAAACTGTGGACATCTGTATTTCGGGAGCGCGCGCGCGCGCGCGCTGGGGGTATTCCAGAAGGGAATGAGCCTGGGGGCTCATTAAAACTTTTGTATCCTTATCTTATCTCCTACCTAATTTGGCTTGGAGTCTTTTTTCCCCACAGCCATTTAGGCAACAAACCTTAAGGTACAATAGAGAGAAAACCACTCAGTGCTTTCTAAAAGGAAATACTACTGTCTGAGACATCTATTTTTAAATTCTTTTAACACATAGTGCTTAAATGAAGTCACAACACACCCATAAGCCTTTCTAGCACTACTGAACTGTTCAGCAAGAAGGCACTTGCTGCTCAGTAGCTTCTTTTTTTAGGGGAAAAAAAAAGTGTGCTCACTACAGAAAGAACATTTCCACTTGTGTTAATTGTGTTAATTAAACAGAACAGTAACCACTTCTGAAGTGACACAGTTGATTAAATGAGGAATGCCCAGTTTTGGCAGTGGCAAATTTTGTTTGATTACTCTGTTGTATATTGTGTACCATTTGAAAGGACACATTTTAGACAACATGAGTTTTCTACACACACAGATAATATGTATGTGTGAATACGTATAAGCATGGCACAGTTGTGTGAACCAATACATAATAAAGATGAACTTTCATACATAGTTAAAATAGTTTGGTCATAATATTAAAATACAACAGAAAGGTTGAGTGTGGGGATTAAGATCTAGAAAACCCAGTCCAGTCTACGCCCCATGAGGCAACTTAGTAAACATAGACACATACCCATGCACATAAAAAAGAATCCACTGCCTTTTTAGTAATAACTTTCTGTCTTAGGGTATGGTAAAACAGGGGAAATGAACATACTATTGGCACAAATACAAGTGTTTTCTTTTTGTTCTGATGTTTTTTTGGAAATAAGGCACAAATTCTTATGGATCTGTGAATCTGTCTGCTTCTATGCCAGTAAGTGATTTTTCACCTAATTTGCAACCCCTGTCCTGTCACTAAAATCTAAAAATTATGGAAAATACTTTACTTATACTCAGAAGATTCACAATTATACACCTAAATGGAAAGTTTACAGCCTGGCATGCTGTCTGCCAAAAAAAGAAATTAATGAGGTCTCTCCAGAACATATTTTGATGATTTTGCCACCATCTTTCTTCTTGAATTAGGCTTTGTGTCTTTTAATAGTCTTCACCTTACAAAAATGAAAAGCATCCAAAAAAAATGGAAAGTTAGAAATAATCACAATACGTTGTAATTACGTGTTCCTCTTGTTCACTTCATAAATAACTTTGTACTGATATAGAACTGTAAATTTTCACATAGTAGGTGACTTGGCCTTCACTGATCTAAACTTACCTTCTGCTTGCCATACGGACATTTATTATAATAATGGTATTATAATATTATAATTATAATATTACACATCTATTTAATAACATATGTTTCGTAATAGAATATATTTAATACTATTTTATGTATAATTATATATTATAACTATTACAATATGATATTATAATAAATAAGCATTCTATTTGAAGTATTCCTTCATCATCTTGGTTCCCTGGCCTTGACATTACAGTGCAGACTCCTGAAGTGTCTGTGTTTCAACTTCTTTAACTGTGGTTGTTGAGACCACATTTGACACTCTCAAAATGTATTTTTGAGGAGCTTTTGCCCATTTTCTGAAGAAGAAGGCCTATGTGCCCAGTTTAAGCCAGCCTTGCATCCAGGTGGCACAGGTAGCAAAGGCATGTCTGATCTCAGGGGTTTCTTAAAACTTGCCACTGTGTGAGACAACAGGGCTCAGGGGAATGACTTCATAGGTGAGATGGTGTTTGTGGCAGCAGCACATGGGACAATCTTTAGCTCACTGCTGCAAAGGCTCCACTAAACCCATATAAATCCATTCCAAAAATCCATTTTTGTATAGTGATTACAGGATCTTTGGCCTTGTTTTGTTTGCATACTGTTTTTGTTAAAAACCCAGTTAAGCAACACCAGAATTAAAATACTAGGGTTCTAAACTCATGATTGCAGGAGTTCAAGCTGACCAATAGGTAATTCTTGTTCAAGTTAATGAAATAGTTCTGTTCATTAGCAGTTTTGATTGTTTATTTTTCACAAAATGCCAACAAATCCATATCAGCAATGAAATCTAATGCCAAAGAGTTCCACAGTTAAAAATTTCCTTTAAAAGATATACTTTTGAGTCTTACACCCAAAAGTGTTAAATGTGTCTCAGATCAGTTGCTCTCCAAGTGCATCTCATCTCTCACCCTTGCTACATCAAGATTGATGCTTTTCAGTTTTAACATTGCTTTCTTAAGAACCTACTGATTTTCTTTAATATTCTGTCTGCCAGGAACACATAGTCTAAACCAAATGACTTTAGAATTTGTTATTTTCTTGACAGTGCTCTTCTCTACCATGCAGCATTTGCCACAAATGTCACCAAACTAGCGTTCATAATAGGGAGGCCCTCAGGGCAGACCTAGGCGGGGAGCGGACACGGGGCCAAAGGGCGAGCAGCGGGGCCGCTGCGCCCCGGGACGTGCCCGGGGTGTCCGCACTGCAGCGGTACGCTGCAGTGCGGACACCCCGGGCACGTCCCGGGCGCAGCGGCCCCGCCGCTCCCTCAGCACCGCCCGCCAACCCCTCCCGGTGGGGCCGCCACCGCCGCCGCCTCCGCCCTCACCGCACACAGGCCTCTGCGCATGCGCAACTGAAGCGCCGCGCTCCTCGCCTTCTGCCCTCCCCTCCGCGCCGCCGCTCCCCTCCCCCGCCCCCCACATCTCCGCGCTGTTCCTCCCCCCATATCATCGCGCTGTCCCGCCACACACATCCCCCTCCGCCGCTGCTCTCCCAGGGGCACCGCCGGTGACCCGGACCCGGCGGGGGAGTCCGCGCTCCGGGACGACTACCCGCGTCACGTGGCCGAGGTCGCGCCGGCGCCCTGCTCGGGGCCGCCTGCCCGCGGCGGTGCCTGACAGGGCCGGTGCCGAGCGGCCCCCCGGAGGGTGCTCCCTGGCGGGCTCCTGCAGTCCCCCCTCTTCTCCCCGGCTCTCAGGCGCGGAGCTGCGGGGGCGGCGGCGTCCGCCGAGGTGCGGCGTGAGCGCGGCGCTGCCCCGCCCGCGCAGGCAGCTCTGCAGGCAGCCCAGGCGGGCCTGTCGGCGCCGGGGCCGCGGCGTGACCTCGGCGCGGCGCGGCGCGGGCGGGAGCGGCGGGCGGGGGATTTATGTGCCGGGCGCGGGGCCGGGCGGGGCCGGCGCGGGCTCGGGCACCGCCACCGGCACCATGGTGAGCGCGGGCAGCGGGCCGGGGGCGGCGGGGAGCGGGGCCGGGCGGAAAGCGACTCCGGGCGGGGCGAGGGGCCGAGCCTGCTGTAGGGCCGGGCCCCGGCCGTGGGAGCGGCGAGGCCGCCGCGTGGGACCGTCGGTCTCTTGATGAGCTCTCGGTGAGGGAATGGCCGCGCTGGGTGTGCTTCGCCGCCACCTCTCGCCGGCACCTTTGCTCTGCCCGGGGCTTCCGTCCGGGCTTTTTCCGTCCGTTCCCGCTTTTCCGCGGGGGAGGAGAGTGAGGCACTGCGGTCTGGCCTCTGTGGCAGGGTTGGGGTGTCTGATCATAAATACGCGGAGCCCTCGTCGCCCTCCTCAGCTCCCCGAACGGAGATGTGGTGAGGAGGGGGGCGATCTCTCCTGCCGTGCCAGCGGTGAGGGGGCCAGAGAGAATGGCCTCCAGCTGAGACGGGGGAGCTTCAGATTAGATTAAATGTTCACTGTCAGGGTAGTGGGGCATTGGAATAGGCTGCTCCGGGAGGTGGTGGAGTCAGCACCCCGGGAGGTGTTCAGGAGGTGTCGGGATCTGGCGCTGGGTGATGTGGTTCAGTAGTTTAGGGGTTGCATTGGCAGTGCTGGGCTGACGATGGACTTGATGATTTCAAACGTCTCTTCCAGCCGTGACGATTCCGCGATTCTGACTGTTTACTCATATCTTCTGTAAACCAGGGTGATTAAGTGGTCTTGGATATATGTAGAAACCTTTGGTGTTCGTTAATGCCAGATCCTTTTCGGTGCTCTGGGCCGGGTCACAGTGTGTGCTGTGGCAGCACGGCAATGTCACACAATCCTAGAGTGGTTTGAGTTGGAAGGGACCTAAAGCAAAAAGAATCCCACTTTAAATTGCTTTTCACAATAGGTGTTTCAGCACAGCCAGAATTTGTTGCTCTGAACATAATGCACAATAAATGGCCTTGTAATGTGATAGGGGAAGAACAAAGTTTGGTGTAATTGTTAAAGGTATAAACTTGTTGGATGTACGTCGCTTAAACAGAGGAGTCTAAGTAACAAATTTCAAATTATGTAAAGATATATCACTATAAAGATGCTGAATTCTGTATTTAGGTCTTAGTTACTGTTGAAAACACTGGAGTTGATGAGCTCAGCTTTTAGTGTACTTATAGATACAAAGAGCAAGGATACATGAGTGCAGGTATAAAAACGTGTTTTGTATGTGCCGTTGCACATATAATAAAGAGAATATTTAATGTATTTTATATCTGTTATAGTGTTCTTTTCTTCCATATGGCTATGTGACTCTTAAGTTTCAGTGTCATTTTAAGTATGGCAAAAGTATCTGTTTGTTGAAACAGGTTCTTAAGAAATGCACTTTACCATTACATTTTTAATAAAGTTGCCTTTTAACTGTTCTCATAGTTACAGATTTAATCACATATGATTCTACTAAAGCTCTTTTTAATAGTATATATTATGAAAAGTATTTATGAAAGGCTTATGAAAAAAACTGTATTTCTTTTCCTTATGAAGTATATTTCTTTTTTTCTTTCTCTAGAGATTAGAATATTTAATCAAAAGGTCATGAAATACTCATTTGTAGGATTCCATGGGTGCTGTGGCCAGTATCCATACTGGAAGCTACTTTTGGAAAATTGTGAGCTTTTCCTCTCAGTGTAGGTCCTTGATTAAATAAATTGAGTGGTTACTTGTGCTGCCTGATGAGGTTGAAAAATCAGGTCCAGTTTTCTGTGCTGGGTGCTGGCAGTGTGGACAAATAATCTTTGTGTGTGATTCCATGACGTCAGCAAAGTGAAAAGGTAGTTGTCTACTTCTACAGTGTTTGGAAGCTGCATTCTCCAGTTCCAAAGCAACAGGAGAATGAAACGTTCATCAGTTTCCTTTGCACCAGGAGGCTTATAAATCAAGTCTTAAAATCAAGATCTGCCAAGCTGGGACTGCCAAGACTCATCTATGCAGCTGCAGTGCCAGTTAGGTCATGACTTTAAACTCTGCACAAGTGTCTTAATACTGTGCAAGGCCACAGTGTTTTAGACTCTTCAGCAGAGGCATCAGAGACTTTTCACTTTTTATGCTTGGAATTATTCCTTTAATGGCAGAGCCTGCTCTTTAAAAAACAAATGTTCTAGAGAGTGGGAGCTTCCATAGTTCCTACTTGTGGTAGTTGGGGAAGTATTAGGTAAACTAGATTTTTAAAACCTTTGAATAGTAATAGTGGAGTATATCCTTGTTTTTTTCCTGTGTTGTAGATCAGTTCTCTGAACTAGTTTTACTTGTAATCTAATAATACATTGCATATATATTGGTGTTCTTTACAACAAATATTCTTTAATGGTCTCTTCAGTAATAAAGATAAATCTGTGTTTTTATAAATACCCTTGTTCCGGCCATGGAATTTCTGTAGCAATAACCTGATTTGCCTAATGATCCCTAGTTCTGTAATCTTTGTGCTTAGAGAGCCTCAGTAGAAAAAGACAAAAGACTGTCAGGTAAAATGGAAGTTTATTGGCTGTCTTTTGAATCTGTGGAAAGACACTGGTCAGGAGAGAAGTGGCCCTTGGGTAGGAAAGACCTGTGAAGGTGAGTGGTTGGGCTTTGAACTCCTTGTATATTCGTCATACCACTTTGTGCATCGTTTGTTCATCTTTGCTGTCTTGTAAACAGTGCTAGGTGCATGAAAATTCTGATTCAGGGAAAACTTGGTTGTGAGAAAAGACGAAAAATAAAAATCTGAACTTTGAAGAGGTCTCTTGGCATAGATATCTCTCCCAAGATTAGCTTTGTGAATACCTGATTTTTACAAATAGTAAGATTTGAATTGCCTCACATTGCTGACTGTCATTCTGACTACAGGTCTTTTGTGAAAGTGATCTTTTTCACAGGAAGCATTCATTTTAAGATGCTGCACAGCAAGCTCAATTTTCTTTCACCATCCCATATAATATTTTCTATTGTTTAAGAAACAATTCTGAATTGCATTTATGTTTCAGAAGAACACTGTCTTGGTTTTGCAAGCTACAGCTTGAGCACGGACTTATGGATACAGAGAAAAATTTGCATGTGGGGGAAATTGACATGTAGAAAAGTGTCATTTTAATAGCAAAAGCAATAATGTGTCAGCTATTAAATGGCATTTTGAAAAGTTTGTACCAATTTAGCTTTCAGCCTCCACAAATACCATTACACATTTGGAATTGCAGGAGATAAGAGTATTTGTTATATTCTTCTAGGGATCTTGCTGGTCACTACTAATTTTCCATTTTTTACTTGGAAATTCACAGTCTTGTTAGCATATTTGCCTGCTGCTATTGAGATTTATGCCTTGAATTAAAATCTGTAGAATACTCCAGTGGAGTTGTGTAAAAATCTTCTTTTTACAAGACTTGCCACTTCAGAAAGAAAGCAGCTGGCATTGTATTTCTGAAGGTGAAATTGTAGACTGGGTTCTACCAGCTGTTTTTTCAGGCATGCAGTATCCCTGCTGCAGTCTTGGTGCACACAGCAGTTGGCTTCAGCTCAAGATGCTTGTGCAGTGGAGGAGGTGGTTATTGTCAGAGAACAGGTTGTTTCAAAGTCCTGTGTAAAGCAAGGTGTTTGAATTATTTGTAATATATACACATGTGGTAAGGAAAAGAAAGATGGAAAAAGCCTGGTACTACAGGTAAGGAGGAATAACCTTGAGGAAGGTCAAAATGAGGAGACTTGAGTGGTGTCTTTGCATAAAATAGTCAGCCTTGGCTATCTTTGTGCTTCATGTTCTGTAAGTCAATTGATGAAAAGAAAAATGTCCTTCAGGCGGAAGTACTTTTAAATTTGTTGGGTTTTCTTTTTTTCGTCACTCTGAGATAGCTGTTGGTGTTTTATAAGTACACTTAACCTGTAGATAAGAGTTTTGTAACTTTATCTTAATTGCTTATTCTTAGTTTTTGTTCTCCTCGCTATCAGCAACTCTCACCAGGTATGTAGTACAAGACTGTGAAAAGTTTAAGTTGTACTTCATTCAACCTTGTGTTGTTGGCTTTTGGAGCTGTCACCTTTTTTTTCATCAATTTTAAGAAATATGGCCAGCTTTCCTTTAATGTAACTGCTAGTACTACTCTTGTGGACCCCTTATGTGTTCTCTGTTATGATTTAAAGCTTTCATGTGAAATGTGCTGTGTTAGGCAAGCAAAGGTCAGATGGCCATACTTATTGAAGGATCTGGAAGAGAGCACAATGACTTGTGAGACTTCTGAGACTCTTCTAACCGAAGACCTTCTGGGACAGAAACACAGCTGGGCAGCACTTTATTTGACAGGGTTTCTGCGTGGCTGTACTATTTCAGTCTTGGTTTTGGCCAGGTGGTTTCTTTCTAGGTTCTGTTTTGCAGAGAAACTGACTTACCGTGTTACATAGTCCTCCTTTTTTTGGTCCCAATTCTTCCTGGCATTAGAGATTGACAGAAATGTCTCTGGCTGGTGGAATACTGACCTCTGTCTCTAGCGTCTTGAACTTGGATTTCAAATTCCACGCTGCAAAGTTGAGGCATGACAGGGACATGGATGTATGTGGAATCAATGTGCTGAAGGTCTTAAGAAATGGGTTCAGTTAACATGACTGTCCACAAACTGCTCTGTATCTGCAGATACTTTATTTAGTCTGTGCAGCAGTTCCTCATCTCTTAACAGGTGAGTAGTGCTTCTATGAGTTTTGGTCAGCCTGGTCAGTGATTGTGTGCTTAATTTCCTTATCACAGGTCAGGTGATGTGTTCCAGGTTTTGTCACTGGAGGCCCTCAAAACCCCCATATAATGTGGCCTTTGCCCCTGTGCATCTTCTCTTTCAAATACATATCATACTTTATTTTTTATACTCATGATTTTTAAAGTTGTGGATTTATGACTAAAATCTAAACTGTGTCCTCTAATTTAGAGTGTGAGAATAGAGGATGTAAGATATTGGTGGGAACCAACACCCAGTTTTCATTCTTGTTCCTGGAATGAGTGGTTTTAAATTTAAACTGGTATCAGTGGTAAAGTGAAGACTTGGAAGTATGTGGGAGGCTGGATCTAGACAGGGCCTGAAGTGAACCCTGTATTTTGGGGGAGGGGGGAAGACGTGTTCTGGTGTCATAATATGGGGTAGTTTGGGATGTTGTACATATTTCTGGTGTGTTAATAAAACATACAAGCAGAGTGTAACCACATCCAGGCAAAAGGGTAGAGTTGGCAAAAAGTTGTGCTGTGCACACAGCATGTTGAGTGACCACATCACCTACTGTATTCCTGTGCCATGTGTTCTTGGCAGATTGCAGGAAGATTAATGCAGTGGATTTTTTTAATTTCTTGTCACACCTTTACTCTATTAACATATTACTTGTGGTTGTTTACTTACCTTCAGGAATCAAGTGAAAAAGCCTATATCAAGTGACCACATATATCCATTTTTTTAATAGTAGGAAAGTAAGTGTAGGAAAGTACGAGAAAGATACTTCCACCACAAAGTGAGATTTAAAGTTAAGATTAGTGATATCATTGGGATTTGGTTGTTTTTTTTCTTTTGCAAGGCTTAAAACTTGCTGGGTTGTTTTCATTTGTATGCTGAAATGTTTGCAGGTATTTCCATTTTTAACAAATGCAGCAATAACCTCTTTGGGAATTAGCACTGTGAATTTCTGCTGGAAGGGGATAGAGAGTATGCAGAGAGATGTTCAATGCCTTAAGACAAATTGTTTCTAATGGGTTCTGTTACAACGTGCGGTCTTCACCTGAGTAAGAAAACAAGTTTCTGTTGGCAAACTTTTAAGTAGTCTGTTGATTTGTCAGTATTTTAGCTCAGCTAGTAGTCCTGCTGCCCTGTATAAAAATAACTGCCTTGATTTGTATCATTTTCCCTCCTGTTGTCTTGAGTTGAAAAGGCATTTTCTTTCCTTTACTGATGGGAACCTCTAGGAGTAATTGAAGAGACACACTGGCACCTGATTAGGCTCCTAATAAAAACTGTATTCTAGAGTGATATTAATGTAACTTTACTCTGAGAGAGTGAATTCTGAGGATCATGGCTTAGTGGGCAGGCGAGATAAAGGGACAGTGGTTTCTCTCTTACATTGGGTGGCAGTGGTCAGGCTTAGCGTGAGGTGGTCAAAATAAATACTTGACTTTTAAAATGCGTGGTTTGTTTTGTACACGAATTAGAGAGTATATACTTCCTTAGCAAGTTAGTAATTTAAAAATCAAATATATTAAGCAGGCAGCTTGTTTTAGCAACACTTCCTTTCACTGGAAGCACATTTCCGTTAGCCAGGGAATTGGTTTGAACAATCTGTGCGTGGAACTATGCATAATCCTTAATAAAGGTAGAGTGGTCAAAGTAATACATGCAGCTGTCACTCCTGATCTTGATTCCTGATCTCAGTGACGTAGACCATAAACAAAAATGAAGTCATAATTTTTGACATACCTCAGGGAACTGATGGCACCAATGTAGTAGTAGTAGAAATTCCAAGGAGGGAGGAGGCAAAGAGAGGCTTGGGCACTAAAGAAACTTAATGGTATTTGAACCCCTCCAAAAGTGTTACTTCACAGTATAAAAAAGTAACGAGTACTTCTGAGTTTGGCACCTTGTTATGAGATGTGTGGTAATATATTGAAGGTGTTTACAAATACTGCAAGATAATTTAGGCTATCTTAATCTCTCTCAATCATGTTAAATTAAGGATGATACTGTACCTCATGCAAAAACGTTTCATCTGTGCAGTATTGACACAATTTCTGATTTATTTAAGGGGAAAAAAAAAGAAAAAGAAATAGCATTGAAGGAAGATAAGAACTTTCCTTAGTGCAGTATTTAAGACCAAAGAAGATATTGTTGGTTGGTAGGGAAGGGGAAGGCTGGTGAAGAGGTGTAGGTTAACAGCTTGTTGCATAGCAGGTGTGGATAGCAGGGACTTGGCTTGTATGACCATGGGACCCTCTCTGAGGTGCAAGGACTGCTGGGGAGGGACAGCATCCTCCTGACCAAGTGGGGCAAAAGCATTTTTGCCAGCAGTCTGTCCAAAGTGGTATGGACAGCTTTAAACTAGGACTGAGAGAGGAAGGAGGTGATAACTCACAAATCAAGAGGAAAAACTGGTGGACTGAGCTGGTAAGCAAAGGATGCAAGGTAATGTTGAGAGGAGTCCTTGAAAACAACTAATTGGAGGAGAAAGGAACTCACCCATGTACGTAAAGGCAAAAAGGAAATATCTGTATATACAATGAGAGAGAATATATATTGTGTATATTATGTGTATTATGTACATAATAATAATAATAATAATAATAGAGAAGCTCTTAGACCTCTTCAGGGAAATGAGCACATTTGAGTTCATCTCTGACCTGCCAGTGCACTAATGCATGCAGCGTGGGGAAAAATGGCAAAGTATGGGGCTATATGAAGTTACAGAGCTACAATTTCATTTGGATAACAAAGATGTGATAGGATAGGCAGTACAATTCCACCATGGATGGATGCAGGCCCTTCAGTGGGGATGGGCTGGGAAACAGAGGAGTTGGACTTACTCTCTACTGAGAGAACAGTAGGAATGCATGGAAGTCTGCCATGGGATTAAAAAAAATTTTAAAAACCAGCAACCAGCAGTTACTGAGTGACTGGGAATGAGATGGCTGTTAACACTACTGAAGTGCCAAATGCTTTTCAAGAGTTGGATGTTGAAGTGAAACTATGCTGATCCCTGTGTGCCCTTCCTTCCCCACATGTGCCTGGAATTCAGTGTGGGGCAAATGCTCTACACTAATCAAAGACTGAAATTTCACAACATGGATGTTGTTAATGGTGAAGTTACTGTTGACCCCAGGGGGTTTGTGGTGTCAGCTGTTACATTGTGTCAGAGCTGAAGAGATCACAAACCCCAAATTTATAATCAGGGGTGAAGGTTTAAGGCATAAAGTCTTGTGAAATGCCATGTATATGAATGGCCTTTCCGTATGTGAAGCAGGGAACATATATGACTGCCAGTGTGACCTGGGAATGCATTTTCCCTGTGATGAAGCATGTAAGATTGTAGCAAGTTTCAGGGGATTTTTTTTTTTTTTTTAACTGCTACTGTATCCTGCCCCTTGTTCCTTTCCAGTTTAAAATTAACCAAAAAAATAACCTATCATACAGAGTGTTTTGATTTTTTTTTTAAAGATACTTTATGACTTTTCCAAAACACATACTGACTTATTATTAACTTATTTCTCTACAGGGTGTGATAGGTGTACAGCTGGTGGTTACCATGGTAATGGCTAGTGTTATACAGAAGATCATACCTCACTATTCTCTTGCTCGTTGGCTTCTCTGTAGTGGCAGGTAAGATAAGAAACACTTGCTATATAATGTGTGACTATGGCAATGCAGTTATACATTACAGTAGTAACAGTAATTGAAAAGTAATTGCTGTTCTTAAATTTATTACTGCAGCATTCTGACACCTGATTTTCAGGCTCAAGGTAAAAAGACAGTATTACTGTAAAAGAACAGAATTGTTTGTTGCTACTAATGGTATCAGTCATGAAGTTAATTGTTCTTCAGCTCTTATATTAAAGGTACAAGGTACATCCTTTAATATTAAAGCTAAACTGAATACAAGACACTGAAGAATGGAAGGATTTCTTTTCCTCTGCACTGCATCTGTGGTGTTGTTAAATCTACCTCCTGATTAGCTTTTCATATAAACAGTGGTTAGATATTTAATAAAAATTATATTTTTTTAATACATCATAGGACAGGATTAGTATAAATTCAATATACTACTTCCTGGTATCAATAGATCAGGCAGACATAGTGAGTTGCAAGGGGAGCATTCCCTGTGTGGCTCTGTCCATAATAACAATGAAAAACAGCTCTTTTGAATATAAATCAGTATGCTAAATATTAAAAGGAATCATAGATACTGGTTTTTTCATTTGGTAAGAAAAATAATTAGTATGATTAGAAGGTAGGGTGCTGTCTTTTGTAACTTCAAATTTTGAGAATATCAGTAGTATTCAAGGAGTATCCCTTGAATAGTAATGTACTCCATAAGAGTATTAATGAGTCTTGTATAATTTTCCATTACCTTTTTTTTCTTCTGCATCTCATAATTACTAGCTTGTTTCTTCTTAATTTTCCACATTTCATCACCCAAAAAGCTGCTGATGAGAAATGACTGTACATGTTGGTTAGATGTGTCTTAGGTATAACAGAAAACAGTAATTGTCAGATGAATACTACAAGCAGAAATCATACTCTTAATGAAGTTTCATTGTTGACCACCTCTGCAGGGTGTTGATCACCCTTTTTGTGCCCTAAAAAGAGTATTAAGTTAATGAATATGAAACTGCCTACCATTTACTTTTAAAGTGTGTTATCACTAGACTGTTTTTTTTTATCAAAGGGCATATTATACTTTTTATGTCTATTTAAACTTTTATTTCAAAATTTAAATATCTAATTGCTCTTTTAAAAGAATTGCTCAATGTTATGCCCGTATTCTTCATTCTTTCAAAGTTTTCACTCTCTGTATGCTTGCTCTAAGGCATGTACCAATGATAGGGAGAGGTTTGCTGTTCAAATATTTTTTCCTAATCCTTTTTTCCATTTATCTTTGCACATCTGCAGATTGATAAATACGTGAAGCAAGATTTCAGCATTTGTGCTTAGATCATTCTGCTTCTACTGAAGTCAATGGGAGTCCTGTTATTACCTTTATTATGTTAGCCTGGAAGCCTCATTCTTGCTTTTCAGTGTTCTTTCATTTATCTGGTAACTTATTTTAGTGCATTGTAATTTCAGGCACTGTGAATAATCCCCTGAATACAGGACTTGTATGAAGAGTCAGAAATAATTCTGTGTTCCAGAAATAAAAACAAGTTAGAAGCTTCGTGGCAACAAGAATCTGAATTGTAATGGCAGAAAGAAAAACAGTTATTTTCATGGTTTAACTGAGAAACTACCTATTATCTCTAACCTATTTTATTTTAGTTCTGTCTTTTTGTCAGTGGTATTTGCTTTGACAGACCTGTGCGGCTGGGGTGGTAGGGCATTTTATACACAAAAATATACAGGTACAAGTAAGCACACTCCTAAGCTGTTCTAGGAAAAGTTACCACCTGCTCCTCCTTTCCTTTGTCGATAGACTCCAACTCATCACCACCAGCTGTGGTTTTTAAGTGACTTGAACTAAATGTCTTGTTTCCAATGGGTTGGCAAGCTTTCCTGACCAAGATAAGCTGAAATGTCCATAGATAGTCCTTGCCAAATGGGAGGGAGGATAAACGTGTTATCAGACAAGACGGAAGCACTGAAGTGACCAGTTGATTTCAAGATGCTGTATGTGTACAAGCAGAGTCCATTAAAAGGAAGCACAGACATTTCAAAATTTAAAAGAGTTGTTAGAATAGACCTAAGATACTTACATCATTGACTATCAAAGGGCTATTTACTTAAATTTGTAAAGAAACTCAAACTTTTTCAATCAATGCTATTTTCAGAGCTTGAATGGAATTTAAATATCATATTTATTGGAAGAATTCACAGCCTAAATATCTGCATATGCCTTTGCATTTTTAACTAATAAAACTTTCTCTGCCAGAATTTTGCTATTTAAGTTGCTTAGCTGTTTTAGTTGTTCTGTTACCATGCCACTTCAGGAAGACAGGAGAAAGTGGATGTTTTGTTGTGCATTTGTTAATGATCTTCATTCAGATGAACTGCAGCATATCTGTGTGGCTGTTGCTATTCCAACTGACTTGGATATGTCAAAGCCACAGTTGTGAGATTTCAGTTTTAAGCATATATAAGCTAAAACAGATACAAACTATTTTTTTATTATCTTACTCTTTATGAAAACATTCAGATCTCCTGGTTTTAGGATTTTAAATGCAAGGTGTGTAGGGTTTATGAACTAAAAAATCCGCAGACTCTACTGTAATTAGATATTACTTGCAACATAATATTTTATATTATAATTAAGAGGAAATTGTAATTTAAGTATTTGATTTCTGTTAGCATACTACACAGAACAAGAATTTTGTCTGTTCTGCCCCATTAGGTACTACTTCTCTGTGCAGGAAAGATTTTGAAAAAATTCTTTACAGCATAGGTGACTTTCATCATTACAGAACTACTTATGGTAATGTCAGCATGCCAGACTCAGATCTGGGAGATTGTGAATGGCAAAGCAGAAGACTGTTTCTCTGCTTATTCACACTTCCTTTGGGTCCTGTGAAAGATAGGAAGAAGTCAGCATCTCCAGTGTAGTTTGTTCTTCTTGGATGAAAAGGTGGTTTCTCTAGTTTCTGTGTGTCTCAGTCTTAACAAAGTGTCTTTTGCATCAAAGTTTGCAAACCTCAAATTTTTCAGCTGGGACCACACATGATGAAAATAAATTAATGAAACAACTTCTAAGCTTACACTGGAAAAAAAATCCTGAGCAAAATTCAACTCCTCTTTTCTCCCCCAAAACTCTCTGTTTGTGCAAAGTCTGTAATATTTGCCATTTTCAGCTTTGGAACTGGCAGTGAATTCCTTCAAGGGAAATTTACAGTGTTTGATGTTTTATTGACTGGTACTGGAGCTGAAGGAAGCCTTTCCAAAACAGAACTGGGAGTCAAATGTCATCAAGTGGCTTGAGGTTGTTTGGGTTTTGATGCTTGCTTTCCAAATTTGCCCTACTATCTTGCTGAACTTGGATGTGACATCAGCTCTAATTCACCAGCATAGATTTGAATGGTCCTACTTGGTGAAGTTTCTTAATGTGAGAAGATGGTTGCAGATTCCATTATCACCTCTAACTATTACCAGTGTTAACCTATGTCCCTGTGGGTGACAGTTAGTGTCCTCCTACTTCCACATACATTTCCCAAGTCTGTTTCTATTAATACCTGGTCTCCTTTTTGAGCATACTTGGCCTCAGCATTTGAAAGTAGAGATCAGAGTGACATCCTTCCTGCATGTGGACAATAACCTTCCCTTGCTCAATATGGAGAAGGCCTTGTTTCAACTACTAAGGTTTTTGATGTACTTATAGATTTAAGTAAAATATACCATCTTAACACTTAACCATCTCCATGTTTCTTCTTCAGAATTTCCTTGCCACTTCTTGTCTTTTAAATGAATGAGCAATGGATGATATATTGAGTTGTGAAAGTGGAAAAACTTGTAGGTCAACTGCATGTAAATTAGTGATTTTTTTTTTAATAGGACTTTTTCTAATAGGCTTTGAAGATAGCAGTGAGGAGGCTTTTAGGAAAGGAGTGTTGATGTTATGATATGCTCTGCTTAAGGAAAAGACTGGTAATGGTTATTAGATAACAGCTACTTCAGATTCTGAAAAAATGCTGGTTTTTGAGGATATAATTATGTTTTATAAAATTGTTTAGAGTATGGTTCTGATGGGTAATTTTAATGGTATAGTTATTCTAGAGAACCTTTTCTCCTTGTATTTGGTGATATCTTTAAAATTTGGTGTTTTGAGAACTGAAGGGCTTTCTTATGAATTACAAAGTGTCAAAGCTTCCTAGTCATGAATAAACATCTGACGCTGAAGAGAGCTGAAATTTACTTGTGGTTCAGTTCAGCCAAGATTGGTACTGGCACACAAGGGTGTCCTGCTTAGGAGTAGTAAATGACTGGTGTCTTAATATGCGTATAGATCTGCATCAAGATACAGTTTTTTTTTTAAAAGCCCTACTCTGAATTGCAAATACGGGTATTGTTATATTTAAAATTTTCTTTTTCTTCAGTTTACGGTGGTATCAACATCCCACTGAAGAAGAACTACGGATTCTTGCAGGGAAGCAAAGAGGGAAGAGCAAAAAAGACAGGTAAATACTTGTTTCAAGCTTTTCTTCCCCTCTCTTCTGTTTTTTTTCAGCATGTTCATGTAATAACTTTACCAGCCAACTTTTGTCTTTGTGTGAGTTAAAAACTGCAAGTTGCATATGACTACCCCACTTGCGTGAATTGTCTCAGTTCTGTACCAAAATGTGTTCTTTCAGTTTAACAGAGGATTGAACATTACTAAGTTGTGCAGAACTGGTTAATTTCCAGTTCACAAAATGGTCTGCAAAACTGCTAATTTGGTGGCAAAGCTTTTCTTTTTCAGTGGATGTATTCATTTAGATAAAAATTGAGGAAAGCAAATCTTAGAATTGAACCTCTTCTGTTGAATCAAGAGAAGAAAAATTTGAGTATATTAGTTCAACGTATGATTATTAGGATCTGCCATGCTTACACAGCTTTGAAAAAGGTATGTACATATGAGGTGAACAGAGCTGCTGGGATCATCCAGGAAACAGTAAGTGGGGAGGACTAAAAGAGCTGGGCTGGTTCAACCAATCAAAAAGACAACTGAGGGGGTGGAAGCTGTCTGTCAGCTTAAGCTGGAAGCAGCTTTCTGGTGTTCAGACATGAAGTTCTGAACAGAAGAACATGTACTTCTGAACAAAAGTACAGCTGCATCAAGATCCAAGACATCTTGAGGTGATGGCACTGGCCATGTTGATGTGATATTTCTGAAATGGCTATGTTTGAAACAGCCAACGCCCTCTGGCTTTCTTTTGGCAACACAGAAGGTTTCCTTTAGTACTATTTCTTCTATCCCAGTATGAACTCTTTTATAAATAAATCTTAAGACTTGAATTAATTTACAGATTTCTCATATAATCTATTAATTGTAATGTGATTTTTGTCCGTGTTTCCTAGCTCTTAAGATGGATGATTGGGAACATTATTTGCTTCTGTGATCTACAGAATCACAGAATCATTTAGGTTGGAAAAGACCTGTGAAGTCACCGAGTCCAACCTTTGACTGATCACCACCTTGTAAACTAGACCATGGTAGTGTCATATCCAGTCATTTCTTGAACACCTCCAGGGATGGTTAGCCCACTGCCTCGCTGGTCAGTCCATTCCAATTCTGTGAAGAAATTCCTCTTGATGTCCATCCTTAACCTCCCCTGGTTCAGCCTGAGGGTACATCCTCTTGTCCTGTCACTGGTTACCTTGGAGAAGAGACCAGTCCCCACCTGGCTACAGCCTGGCTACAGCTACCCTAAGGTCACCCCTGAGCTTGCTTTTCCTCGGGGTAAACAACCTCATTTCCCTCAGCTTCTCCTCATACAGATCCTTCCCCAGCTCTGTTGCCTGTCTCTGGATTCACTCCAGCACCTCAATGTCTTCCCTGTATCGAAGGACCCAAAACTGGGCACAGTACTCAATGCGTGGCCTCAGTGGTGCTGAATACAGGAGACAATCACTGCCCTGGTCTAGCTGGCCACACTATTGATGATACGGGGCAGGATGCCCTTGGCCTTAGTCAGCCTGGGCACACATTGGCTGGTGTTCATCTCTTCTGTCAATGAGCACCCCTAGATCTTTTTCCACTGGGACACTTTCCAGCCACTCTTCCCCCAGCGTGTGGTATTGGGTTGTTGTGACCCAAGTGCAGGACTCAGCACATGGCCTTGTTAAACTCATACCTTTGGTCCCAGCTCACTGACCCAGCCTGTCCAAATCCCTCTGCATAACCTTCCTGCCCTCCAGTGGTGAACACTTCCACCCAACTTGGTATCATCTTCAAATTGACTGAGCGTGTACTCAATCCCTTTGTCCAGATCATCAATAAGGATATTGAACAGGACTGGCCCCAACACTGATCACTGGGGGACACCACTAGTGACCAGCTGCCAACTGAATGCAGCACTGTTCACCACCACTCTCTGGGTTAAGTTGTTCCTTGTAAAATTAAAGCTATATAATAGTAATTTTTTTTTGCAATATTTTTTGAAATTCAGAAACTCATTTTACCTAACAGTTTTCTGTGAGAAATTAAGGCAAAATAATTGTGAATAGAATAACAATTTTTAGCAATCCATTTAACCAGTGATATTTATTTATGTGTAAAATAACTTTGTTACATAATTATAACTTTATGTGCACTCATAGGAGCCTTAAACAGAAAAACATAATCACACTGCCAAGTAATAATTGTACTTTGCTCTTATTGCCTTTCCTCAGCCTTGCCAGTCTTCTGCCATAGTTGTAGTAGGTGCTTGTAGCAGGGTGAATGTTAATCACCAGGATTGTAAAACTTCAGAGAAACTAAAGTGATAATGTGGAGGGTTAAATGATGTTTGCTTTTTTAACAGCTGAATAATATGGTTATTTTTTAGTGAATAAATGTACCTCTGTGTCCTCTGAAGAAGTGACTGTTCTTGGGGGAGAACCATAGTTAAGTAGGAATTGTTCCTGTTGATCAGTTGGATGTACTGATTTAGGTTGCACAGAACGGAATGCACATCTCCTTGTGAGTCATCTCAACAAGATGTGAAACAGATGGTGTGGAGAAATACAGATGCATCGACTTGATATTCCCCATATCTTTTCAAGATAAAGAATCTGCTTTGTCCAGCTCACAGTCTTGAAAAATGGAATACCTTCTCCTTAATTAAATACTTTCCCAGTCTGAACTAATTAAAAGAGAAATGATGAAAGGAGATACAAGGAACTTGCTTGAAAATTAGCCTTAGAAACAGCTGTAGTGTGAACTTTTAGTCCATTTTATTCAGTGCATATTACACTTCAGTATAGTCTGCTGTAAGTTATAATAGCACCTGAATATTAGGCAGATTTTCTACTTCAGAATAATTTGTGTTACATTAAATTGCTAGGCTAATGAAAAGGTCCATAGCTAGTATCAGTTACTTTGAATTAAAGCTTCCAGTGATCCCAGGTATATTCTCTTGGATTGTGGGTCCTCTGGGATAATTAAAATGTAGGAACACCAAATTTTGTTGAACTGAAATAGCTACAGTCATCAAAATGCTGATCTCACTCAAGATGATGGTACTCCTGGGTGTATGCAGTAGGAAAATAATCAGGAGTACAGCTGTGGGCACGGAACAGAAATTTTTGAGTAATGCCTTAGATTCCTATCCACAGTTTGTGCGTTCAAATTCTTATGCTTTGGATGATACTAAGAATTAATATAACTTGAAAAAATTCTATTAGTGCTGTTTACATGTATTCTCATTTCACATATCAGCTGAGATTGACTGAATTTCTTTTTAATGCTTATGTCCCAATAACTTTCTATGTCTTTCTATGGAAAATCTAACTCTCCTTTTCTAATTTTTCTAATGTGGCAGAGTTTACTGTTTCCTTCTAGTCATTTAGAGGTTTTAAGTTTTGGGTTTGATTTTTTTAATCTAACAAAACATTTTCTGATCTGCTTTGATGATTTCTTTTTTAACAGTGATGAGATGAATTTAACCTTAGTAAAATTCTGTCAGAATTTTACTGTCAGACCAGATCTATCAGACCAATTTCATCTAACTTTGTTAATTTTCTCCTAAGAATATTGCTTTTTTTCAATTTGAAGTCTACTAGTGTGACTTATTTTCAGGGAAGTGAAGATCATGATGTTGGCAGAGTTTCAGAACTCTAGATGAAAAGCACCCTGTGTACATTTTTTAGATTAGAAAGCTATCTTGAAGTTGTCTTTGCCTGATGGCTGGATGGATGAATCTTTCAAGGACCTAGGTTAATCCAGATCATTTGATTTACTTGCTAAGCACCCTGTTGTGACAAGAGGGGCTAATACTTTTTCTGTGATTTTTTTTTTTTTGTCTGTGGGAACACCACGTAGCTCTCTGAACAGAGAAAATCAATGGGCTGAAGTAAATACTGGCCACTGGATCTTGACCTAATACTTGCTCAAGATGCAGCATATAGAAACCACTTAAACCTATACCAGAGCAGTACGTCAAAGTCTGTTAAGATAAAGCTAGGAACCATCAACATACCTGGTAGCTTCTCAAATTTCAACTTGAAATACTGCTTTAAGTCAGATAGATAAAAATATTTGCATTTGGGGGAAAAAAAAAGTGGTCTGCATTTTTCTTAAATTTGAAATGTCATTATATATTGAAAAAGTTTATTTTGTCATACCTGTGTTTTTATCTACTTATTTCTTTATTTTAACAGAAAATATAATGGTCATATTGAAAACAAGCCCTTAACCATTCCAAAAGATATTGATCTTCATCTGGAAACAAAATCTGTGACAGAAAGGGACACTATTGGTAAGAATAACTCTGTGCAAACAGTAATGTTTCAGATATATCCTTATTGTTTCTATCAGATGTTTATTTGCAATGAATGCTGGAATATCTCCTTTATAGACAATTAATGAATAGAAGTAAAACTGATCATAAATGAGAAAGCAAATATTCAGGCTAAGTCTCCTTTCAAGTTCCATAGGTGCCATTTTAATAACAGTGCTGTGGAAAAGGATGAATATAAAGGTCTTAAGCTCTCCCAGGGGAGGTTTAGGTTGGACATCAGGAAGAAATTTTTTACAGACAGTAATCAGACATTGGAATGGGCTGCCCAGGGAGGTGGTGGATTCACCGTCCCTGGAGGTTTTAAGATGAGACTGGATGTGGTACTAAGTGCCGTGGTCTAATAACCGCAGTGGTGTTGGATCAAGGATTGGACTTGATGATCTCAGCGGTCTTTTCCAACCTGGTTGATTCTATGATAAAGCACAGCTATTGGATCAGACTTCCATAGCAATATGAGGCAACACCAAAAGAATCACTTCATAGTCTATTCAAAATAGAGTTTGTAGGTTTGTACAAGAAAACAAGAATTGGCAGATGTGAAAACATAATAGTTTCTGCTTATCTAAAATAAGAAATGTGTGGTTGACCTTTCAGCCACGCACTGGAAACATTAAGATGAAATGCTTAAAAATGCGAAGTGACACAAATACAGAAATATGCAGAATTAAGTGTTTTGGAAGTTGCTGTTTTTTAAATGGTGATTCTTGATTCCTTAATCACAATCAGTGTTATTTCTTTGAAATTGTAGCATTTAATTGTCTACCTGAGTGATACAAGATAGGGTTTGACTGTCTTTAAAAAGTTACATGTACAGTTTTTTCCGGTGAATCTAACCAGATTGTTATTTCAAAATAAGTATAGGACTTGCAAATACCCAATTTTGGCCAGTTTCATGTGCTTGCCAACATTTGGCTTGTAGTCAAGTCAAATGTTCAGTAATGTTTTTTTGACTTTCAGATTGTGAAGGTGTAGGAAAGGTGTTTGTGTGGGACAGGCCACACTTTGTTGTCAAAAATTGTTCTTTGTGGTTTCCAGCACCTCTGGGAGCTCTCTCTTCATGTCATCCAGCCTGTATGCAATACAGTACAATCCCCAGAATTTTTACAGTGAAATTTGTACAGTGACTATTGCTGTACAGGATGTATTAATTAAATCTGGAAGAGCAAGCCATCAGTATCTTAGATGTTGGGATTTTTTAAATAAAGTGATCATGTGTAGTATGATTAATTAAATGTAGTATAATTAATTAAATGACTGCCAGTGAATTTTAACAGAAAGTCAGAAAAAACTCTTAACTGGAATTGCAGCTAGACTCAGCTGAAGAACTGAACTATTTTTTTTCTGTAGTGTGAAATCTGCATTACGTATGCCTTTTCAGTTTAGGATATTAATGTATAAAAACAGAGGTGATAAAATAGTAAAATCTTTTAACCATATCAATGTGAGTAGTAATCAAGTATCGAATGACAGAAGTGAAGAGTGAAGTTTATGTTGTTGAGGAAGAATATGCGGCTTTTTCACTGTTGTTGCACTTCACTTGATTGATCTGGGTCTACCTAGACTTCATTTAGTTGAAAACCTTTTTTAATTGTTACTGCATTGCATATATGTTAAAGCATACCTTTAGCAATCACAAATTTTTATTTTTCAGCACTGCATTATTTTCCGGAATATCAGTGGTTGGTGGATTTCACTGTTGCAGCTACAGTTGTGTATGTGGTGACAGAAGCCTATTACAGCATTGTGAAGCCCTCACAGGAAATGAATATCAGTGTAGTGTGGTGTCTGCTTGTCTTGGCTTTTGCGGTGTATCCTTTTCTGTTTTCTTGAATCACTCTACATGTTCCGAATAGTTTACATAATTGTGTAATTCCTGTAAATCTCTGTGTTGCTAATGGGAAGGATACACAAATATTTAGCATTTGTGAATCATGTAAGCTAGTACCATTGTTGGATAATGTATATGCTGCACATGCTCTTTGTAAATGCTGGTATCAATAGCTTGTTAACATTAATACCAAATAATTTATGGGAAAAATATATGTGTGCTTCTCTGTAGTATCCAGTGGTTCTAAACTAAATTATTTTGCTCAGTTTGGCAATCACAAATAGACTTCTGTACAGAAAGTACAGCTTTTGGAGAAGTTTGGAAGTGTATTTCACACTTTTTGTTTTCAGTATATTTAATACTTCCTGAACAAAAAAACCCTACTTGCTTCATTTTTCAAATCTCGGGAATAGCCCATTTAAATAACACTACAATTAATTGCAATTCTAGGTGAAACAGAGTTGTAAATTTTATATTGTAGGAAAATCCACTGCAATACCACTTTCTTAGTGTGGTTTTGAGTACAGTCCTACCACTGCTTTCACTTGTTCATCAATTTAGGGCAAAAAAAACTTTAAAAAAGATTTAAACTGCTTGTCAGTGTAAGTTTTCTGTCTCAATAGGGTGAATGGGCAAGTAGCTGTCAAGAGTCTGTATGGTTTCTGGGCTGATGGGATGAAGTAGTGTGACCCTGTGCAGTGTGGCAGTGCAGAAGGCTGCAGTACCAGGAAGCACAGTCTCAATTTTATATTAGCGTTAGCATCTCCGTAAATATGTCAACATAACTTATCCCAGGCATTACAGCTTTCTGAGTGAAGGAGAGTGATGCAAAGGGTGATATGCAGAGGCATTGGGAGCAATGTGGTTACTGGAACCTAGTGAGACTACATTTCAGAAGAAAAACGGTTCATTCACATGTTGTGACATCAGGCCTCTGGGATGCTGAGAATACTTAAAACTTACTCAACTAATTACTAATTTGGTATGTCAAGACCAGAATGATTGTATGATAATTGACATGCTAGAGAAATTTGGTTACCTCCATATTTTTGATTGACATCAGTCAATGTGATATGTCAAAAATTAAATACAGAACAGTTTTGTGTTTTGTTGACAAGTGTGTCTTCTGTTTTGTGGTTGTATGGTAAGACATGATAGGTTGTAATAAGGATTTGTATGACTGAATGACCAAAAAAGTTTAGAGAATTTGGAAACGATGATTAGGCATTTTTCAGCTGTGTCTTCTAGAAATGGGTGTTTTAATTCCGTTCAGTAACCCACTCTTAGCAATTTTTAATGTTCATAGTGTAGATAACCAGAAAAGTCCGAGAAGCTAGTATTGTCTATACATCTATGTATTAACAGAAATTTAGTCTAAAAGCAGTAGTATTTGTGTTCCTGGTAATGTGGGTAAGACAGTTCCAGGATAGGGATCTCTCTTACCTGTAGTGGAACAGAAAAATAAACCTTTAAATGGGTAGCTAGTTTCAGGAATACTAAAGTGTGTTTCTTGAAGACACCATTTAGAAGACCTACTGTACCAGCTGCTCAATTTGTAATATTTTTGAAAGCTGCGGTATATTGTGTTGGATTATCAGGTTTTTTTTTTTTTCATCTCTCACTGTTTCATCACACACTTAGTTTCCAGTGCCTGAGATGGAGTAACAGAAGAATTAGCAAAACAAAGATGTTAAGGGGGTTTTTAAGACAGGTTACTGTCATAGCCTTCTGAATTTTGGCTTAAACATTACTTTTGCAATGTTACTGAGAACTCACTTTGGTGTAGACGATAACGTTTGAATTACAATTTTTTTTTAATTATTCCTTAGTTACACTTTACTGCAGATAGTACCTCTTCACAGATTGATTTCTCTTATTCTGAAATTTGAAAAGCTGAGTGTTGTCAGAACAAATATTCAGAATTAGCAAACTGAGTTACTGATCACAGTTTTCACTGTAGCAGTTGCAGCCAGATGACTAGCAAAAGACTGCCTTTGTGAAATAAAAAAATGCTTACCAGATGAGATAGTCACCTCACAAACAGGGACAGAGACAAGGCAAAGGTGTTTAATGCATTCTTTGCCTGTCATCAACACCAGTGATGGACTAAGTGTGTCCCAGTGCCTGAGCTGAAGGACCATGGCTGTGAGGATGATAAACTTCCAGCTGACTCTAAACCTGTGCTGGATTTACAGGGCTCCATCTTACACCCAGTTCTCTTAAACATCGTCCTAAACAGCTTGGACATGGGACTTGAAGGGATGCAAAGTAAGTTGGCAGATGATACAAAATTAGGAGTTGTTGACTCCCTGCAAGGCAGGGAGTCCTTTCAGAAAGACCTTGAGAAATTCATTAATTGAGCAATCACAAGCTGTAGGAAGTTTAAAAAGGGCAAGTGCTCTTCTCTCTGGTGTCCAGTGACGGGACCCAAGGAAAAGGCATGAAGCTGAGTCAGGGGAGGTTTAGGTTAGATATCAGGAAACGGTTTCTTACCCAGAGGGTGGTCGGGCACTGGAACAGGTTCCCCAGGTAAGTGATCACAGCACCAAGCCTATCTGAGTTGGGAGAATGCTCTCAGGCACATGGTGTGGTTCCTGGGGTGTCCTGTGCAGGGCCAGGAGTTGGACTTTTGATGATCTTTGTGGGTCTCTTCCAACTCAGAATATTGTGTGATTCTGTGAATTGACAGATTTCATGTGTTTTAGTAGGAACAGAAAATGGATCTTTTTCTCTTCAACCATGTGGACTGTATAATTCAAAAATTACATAATTATAGCAGTTTAAAAAATAAAATTATTTTTCTAAAGGGATGTACCATAAATTCTGCAAGCATATCACTTCTTGTGGCCGAAACAAAATAAATGAAAGTGGGGGATGAGGAACCTATTAACATAGCACTGAATACTCCCAAATTATTCCTTCAGTAGATCCTGAATAGTAGATCAGGCAGTGAAAGGAAGTGATGAAGCAAGCCATAGTGCTTCGATTTTCTCCAGCCCTAAAATAGGAGCAGTGGTGATTATTCAACTAACAGAAGGTTTCAGTCACATGTAGTTTGCATAATCATTAATCTATTTATTGAGTTCTGAATCTGTACTATAATTGGAGTTTATTGTCAGTATTCTTTCTTTTTCCTAGTTGAATTTTCCGTATCCTTCAGGCACAATCCATAGTTGAAAACATGATGTATCTAGGAGGTTATAAATCTGATTATAGGTTAGGACTATAGATCACAAACTGTTATTAAGTCCTTTATATAACTTCAAGGTATATTCAGTTTGTGATTGATGTCCCTAGCAGTAAAAAGACATTTGGTTTAAGATGTATTATTAGAGAAATAAGGCTTTCCAGAACACAGTCTATATGACCTATTATGTACCTCTTTTTGGGATGAGGTAAGTCTTCCTTTAGATATATAAATTCTTTCTGTAAAGTATGAAGAGATCTTAAGTTGATTACTATGAGCTTAGAACTGTTGGAGGCTGTGCTTAGGCCCCTTTCCTGTGTGCATGTGAAAACCTCTCTGCATACACATGAAATGCAGCAAGGCGTATGTAAAATATGTGATGCCTGATGAAGTGCGGTATTGCATAATCATATTTTCTTGAGAGATTAACTGTTGACTGTTTAAATGTTTTACTGAGTAGATACCCTAAAACATGTTTTCATATATTCTACATCTTAAAATTCTACAGTATTAAAAAAATGCAAATATGAATGTTATTGTGTTATGGGGAAAAAAAGGTGCACAGTTTACATTTTAAATCTAGTTTTTTCATGATCTCTTTGCCTTTTCAAAGCAGGTAGTGCCTGGGATGATCTCCAAATACTTTATTTAAATCTGCACTGGATATTGCCTGTCATTTGAAAATAAAATAAATTATGATGGACTGCAGTTCACAGTAATCAGAGTTGACAGTGTATCATGAAAAATTTGTCGTAGTCTGTTTAACTTTAGAGATAATTATATTTAGAGATGTGTAAAAGAGGAGAATACTCAAAAAATATTTTTAAAACATCCTGATAAGAGAGGTGCTGTTGTCTTAAATGATTGTCTTTGTGGCACTAGGGTTAGATAAAAGCACTTGATATATCATTCCAGTCTGTGTAGGGTTTTAAAGGTTGATTTTGTGTTTCCAAGGTGAGCATGGAATAGATTTTTCTTTTCTAGATAGTACTGAATGTGCTGTTGTGCTACTGTCTGATAGCTGTCAAAAGATGTCAAACATGCACAGATCAGGTGCTTAGGGACATGGTTTAATGATGAACTTGGGGTGTTAGGTTAATAGTTGGACTCAGTGATCTAAAATGTGTTTTCCAATAAAAGTAATTCTATATGTCTGAAAGGAGAGAAATACAAGTTCCATCTTCTCATGTTTTTTATGTTTTCTTATTCTAAGTAAGCCTAGATCAAAACTGTTCCAGAGTAGTGTATTCCTGGCTACCCATTAGGTGATTATTATGCTTTATTGTGTTCTCTAATTTAACCTGAAATTGGCTGAACACATATTACTTTAAAAAAAAAAAAAGGCACACCATAGAACAGCCCTAGTGTAGACGACCAAAATGCAACTTTATAATTCTTAGTTATTTTAGTTGTTACAAGTTATTATAGTTATTACAAGTTGTTATTATATACAAATGGTTATTTAGTTTCTTTATAAACTTAATCTTCCTTGACATTTTTCTTGTGTAGTAAGGTACTGTTTTCATTGACTACCCATTATTTCAAAGTTGAGGATGGAGGTGAAAGATCAGTCTGTGTCACCTTTGGTTTTTTCTTCTTTGTGAAAGCAATGGCGATTCTCATTGTGACAGAAAACTACCTAGAGTTTGGACTGGAATCAGGTAACTCCTTTTTTAGTGTTTGAAGCAGCTCTTGTGATTGCATGATCTGAAAAAATTATTTCCAGCGTTTTTGTGAATATTTGTGTTAAAATGAGTGTTATGTGTCATACACTTCTAAAAAAACTTTGGTTTGGAATGCAGATTTTAAAGACTATTCTGAATAGTTTCCTTGTTTTCTTTTAAATAGTGTAATCTTTGCCTAGTTATTTGTTTTGTTGATTATATTTGCCTTCCAGTTTTACATTTAACCCTTTTTGACTTCCATAACAAAGTGAAGCTCCTTTACTGGAACAGACCAAAAAAATGTTACATTTTTTCATCTTCTTGAAATGAACAAGTATTAGAGATGTTGATAATCAAGTTTTATTGTATTATGGCTAACTAATTAGTACATGAAAAGCTATGCTAGATATGTGAAAAATTGTTTGAAAGATGACCTTTTACCTAGCATTTTATTTCCAAAAAGGAAATAAAATTATTCTGCATTTGTACTGTAATAAAATAAATATATGTGTCTCTGCAGGTTTCTCAAATTTCTCTGAAAGTGCTATGCAGTTTCTTGAAAAACAAGGTTTGGAATCCCAGTAAGTTTCTGGAAATACATTTATCTGTTTTATGTAGGCATTTATAACTGAATCACTTAGATTTTCTTAACAAGCATTTGACTTGCATGTTTTGCTCTTGTACATGGTTATAATATCTACAATAATGGGAAGAGGTGGCTTAATGAAAAGAATCTGTCAGTACCCAAAAGTAACTGAAGGTGCATTAGTGTTTTCTTTTTAATACAGAGGTGGTTTCTGACATTGTGATTGTAGCTCATAAGATTCAAAACTGTAAATGGTTTTCCATGGTCTTTCTCTTCAGCTTTGCATGGATTGTTTAAAATAGGTGATAGATGTTTTTTACCATTCCTATGGCACTCAAGAGGGTGAGTGTGCAAAAGCTACATATGGAGTTTGAGAAAATTGGCATTAGGAATAAATTTTGCTGTTCAGTCTTGGTTTTGGGTTGTAGTAATGTGCTCCTATCAGGCAAAAACATCTGCTTGCTACAGGATCTCAAAGTTTTGTACAGTCTGTTGGAGGAACATGCTATAGCTTTGTGATGTTACATAAATACACAATCACTGTCTCAGATAGCCTTTGTTTATTGAAAAATGGATTTCTGTCACAGTTGTTTCCATATACATGTGCTCTAAAATTTATGGGGCATTTCATCACTGGGAGCACAACTTTGAATTTCTTACTTGGTAGGTGTCAAGTATCATGCAGAAGCCATGGGATATCTTTATTTTTGAAGAACAGAAGTTTCCTTAGATTAGCATCATTTATGAATAAACTCATGGGAAATCTGTAATGGAATCTCATGTGTTTCTTAGCGTTTCTTTCTTCTGCTTTCCTAAGCTATTGCAGGTTCACTAACTTCTGTATTAATTTTCATTTTCAGTGTTTAGTTTTAAACTTTTGCAGTGCTATAAAATTGCTGTTTATAGTTGCAATTGAGTGGATGATGGTGTCTCTTGGTAGTTTATATGACATAGATTAAGAAAGAATTTGAAACACAAGATCTGGTTTTGTTTCTCTTTAATCTGTTAGTTACCTGTCACTTGTTTTTTTGTTGTTGTTGTTGTTTGGGGGGGCGTACTTGTTTGTGTTTTTTTTTCTTTGTGTGATCCAGTGTTTGTTGATTTTGTAATTAACTCTGTAATTTGGTTGATCCTGAAAATATTTTCTGTAATTTTTTTTATATACTATGTTAATCACTTGGAAGAGACATGTAAATGGGCACATGCATGTTTTGGATAAATTTGTGAAAAGCTGCAGGAATAACAGTTTGATAGAGCTTTTTAATGAATAATGGTAGAATGAAGTATCCATTTTGTCTTTGACCAGTTAAGCTGGTATCTGTTCCTCTCTTAAAAATGTAGTCCTTAAAATCATTTTATTAGCTATTCCTGTTATATGATTTGTTGTTACTTACAATATAAAATTACTCTTTTTCTTTTCTGCTAACAAATTAACATCTTATGGGCAGTAGCTTAGGTTTTCTGTTTTACTAGGAAATAAATAGGTGACTTGGTTGGGTTTTGAAATGATTTTTTTTTTTAATTTGAGCTTCTGATTGGTTTGTAATAATGCTGGTATTCCAGAGTAAGACTGTAGAATATTGTTGGCTTTTTTATTAAATGTTAGATACTGTTGAGTTGAAAGTAGTCTCTGATACCCTCATCCCCCAAATTCCTCCCCAAGAAAATGCTTATTTCCTTTCTTTTCTTTTAGGGGTCCTGTGTCTAAACTAACCTTCAAATTGTTCCTGGCTGTTCTGTGTTCACTTATTGGTGCTTTTTTGACATTCCCTGGCTTGCGACTGGCTCAAATGCATCTGGATGCTCTGAATTTAGCAACAGAAAAAATAACACAGTAAGAGAAAATATATGCAAATAGGTATATGCTACTCAATCTTTAAATCTTTTATATCTGAAAATAAACAAAGCAAACTATTCCAACAAGAAGGTAGTGACTAAGACTTCTGTTGCTGCGTGCTTTTCATATCTTGAGCAGACTTGCCACCTGCCTCTTTCTGCTCAACCTGTGCTCTGCCAGTCTGTTACAGTCTTTGCCTTGTAATTAGAGCCCAATTAAAGGAGCTTTTCCTTCCTCCTGCAAGAGCTCCACCATGAATGTCTCTGTGTTCAGCTTTCATTCCCCCATCATTTCCTTCAGGAAGTAAAAGTGCAACCACAGACTTTTTTTTCCCTCCCCCACCTCCAGGTGGGCATTGTGCCTTTAATCAGTCTAGTGTAGGATACAGTGCAAAAATGACCCATAATATTTAATAGGGGTCAGATGTAAATATCAGTTTAAATGAATATTTTCATTTTCAGTCATTCTTGAGTTTGGTGGTAAAATGTTTTCTCCATTTTCACTATTTCTCTTCAGCATTCTCTGGTTGAGGGTGAAAATCCAAATGTCTTTCACAGATCTTGATGTTTTATACACGATAATGGCAGATTCTGCAACATTGGCCATTGTGGCTACTTAGTCTGGTCAGTTTCCTAAGAGAACCATTATGTTTTCTGATAGGAAAATTATTTTTGTTCTTTACCGTCAGAAATTCCCATCTTAAAATTAATCTGTTTGTTATGGGTCCTTTGCACTTGGTAAATTCATAAGCAAGTACACTGTGTTATACTGGCACTCTGTGTAGTTGTCCAGCTACAGCTGCGAGCTGTTGGCTTGTTGTATGTGCTGTTAAATTTCTCTCTGTGTGTAGACTGTGACTTGAGTCACTTCCTAATCTGTTCTTTTCACCTAGACAAAGTTCTTAGTTTTCAGTTTTTATGATTCTCAATATTTTAAAATTTCTTATGCCTTTTCTAAAGTATTCTTTAGTTTTCTAACATTTTCCTTGATCTGTGGACATTGCATCCTAGGCAGAAATGTAAACTCTCTGAAACAAAAGTCCATTAATCAATACCTAAAAGGCCAATTAATATTCACTAGAATGTGGTTATGAAAAAATAAACCTCCCTAGCTTCATGTTTAGAGGATATTGGAACTGATTGTTAAAGATAACTTTATGCAACACAAAGCTAGTTATTTTCAAAAGTCTACCTATACTTTGACTATTCAACGGGAAAAATGATGATTAGTGGATTCGAACTTGGTCAGATATCAATATAATCTGGTAATGAAATTACAAACAAAGAATCATTGTCAAATGATAGGTTCTAATAGGCCTGGAGACCATTACTTGCCCTTAGTGATATGTTTCTATCAATGAGTACATCATTTATTGACTGTAGTTTTTTGACAGTGACTAAAGGGGTGCTGTAAATGAGAATGACATGTCACTGATACGAAGCTCTCTAATGTGGTTGCAGGAAAACCATTTATCTCTGGAATAAAATGCATAGCCTACTTAAAAAAGCAAACAAGCAAACAAAAGCAAAGCAAAACCAACAAAAAACTAATCCCAAAAACAAACCAAAAAGCTAAACAAGTTCCTAAAACTGTCCAAAAAACCCACCAGCTACCAATGTCCCCCAAAACCCAACACAAACCCACAAAACTAAACAACCCAAAAAAGGCCCAACACAAAATCCTATTTCTTTACCGAATGAAACACCTAACTTACAGGGAATATTGACCAAATAAGGCCCAAAAACTTGAAGGTTAATGATTAAGTACCACTTCGCTAATATGTACAAAATTATTAATGTGATTCTTTTAGGGAGTAAGTTTGTTGTTTTGGGTAAACAGAATAAAAATCATCTGGTGTCCCTTTTGGTTTTAATAGCTCTTTGATTTCCTTTTTTCCCCCTTTAGCAGCAGTATTCTTTCCTGCATATATTTGGAGTCTTCTTAACCAGCTTGTATCATTTTTGTATATGTTCCTTTGTATACATTCCTCTTTTACCAGAGTCTGCTTCAGGAGTCTTTCAGCCTTTCTGTCTGTACTTGAAAAAAACCCCACAACCAAAGCAAAAAAAACCCCCCATAAACCAAAAAACAACAAAAATCCAAACAAACAAAAAACCCCCAACAAAAACCCAAACCCAAAACAAACAAAAAAAATCCAAAGAGGTGATTTTAACCACGGTTTGTCACATTCCAGTCCATTAACTCAGTAGGATCTCTTAAATAAGTAGAAGTTCAGGTATAAGGCTTCCACAGTGTAATGAAATGCTTAGGACAGTTCTTTGATGACGTTTTGTTCCCTAGCAACACTAAATAGCTATCAGGGCTTGTTTCTTCATCTAAAATCAATGATTTAAATGTATATGATAACATCTTCTGAAACTTGCCAACATTTTAATGGTTTTAGGAAGCTGATAGTTTTCAATCAGTGAGGTCTTGTGTTCTTTAGAACAACTTTTGATTACTTTGTTTTTTTCTAGAGTGTAGAAGCACTGTGGTGGAGGTGGAAGTATAAACAACCTGATTCTATTAGTGAGGAGGCATTGCACTACCAAACCCACCATATCTCTCCAATTGTTTTAATTTAAGTAATTAAAAACGATTGGGATATGGCGTTTATAAATGAAGAAGGATATTAATTTCAGGAAAAGCTCCAGAAAACTAGATCCCCTTTTAAAATTCTTCTGTTTTGTACTCAAAGATCACAAATGATTACTACTTTTATTTCAGCTGTACAGTTTCATACAATACTTTTAAGAGGAAAAAACTGTGCTGGCTTTTTTGGCTTTTTTCTTTGGTCTGAGTATCTTTAATTGAATGTAAGTACCAAGTTCTATTTAGTCAGGGTTCCTAAATAAAAATATTCATTAAACTGTGAAACCTGACCTGTAAGAACTGTTTCTCCTGGTCTATATAGGTAATGGAAGTTAATCTGAGAAGGTTTTTAATAAAGCAAAAAATAGTAATATAGCAGCATATTCCCCATTATTATCTGAGATGCTGAGTTTCTAAATTAAAACTGTAATAGCGGTTGCAGTTTGGTGTTAGGCCATCATATAAAAATTTTCAACAACTGTCTTTTACTACAGTGTGGCATAGTGTGTGGAATTCCTTTGGTTGGATTGTTTGCGATAAATATTCCAAGAGCACTTTTTAGAAGCCTGATCTGGTGTGATTTCACAATATTGGTATTACTGTTTTGTTGAAATGTAAGTCATGCCTATAAAATAGGGAAGCAATTTTCTTATTTGTCTTTCTCTTTAATTTTAAAATTAAGATCTCTCCTTTTGAATCCATACACCCTGTTCAACAATATGGTGATTATTTTTGTTTAATAACTTCCTCTTTTTTTTTCTTCTTTCAGAACATTGCTACACATAAACTTCTTGGCACCTTTATTTATGGTTCTACTGTGGGTAAAACCAATCACTAAGGACTACATCATGAACCCCCCTTTGGGCAAAGAGAGCATTCCTTTGTAAGAGTCCCTTTAAAAATTCTTTCTGGGGTATTGAGAACAAAATCATGTCTAAGTAGTGTTCTTTGATAGTCATAGGAATATGAAAGACTTAAAATATGATAGCATCTGCTGTCTAAGGTATTTTGGAAGGTGCTTGAAGAGCTTCTGTTGTTTCAGAAGAATGAGAATTCATTGCAGAATGTTGAATGTTAAGGTGGTGGTTCCCAAAAAGCTGCTGTCTTCTGACATCTGCTTGGCAGTGTTGGGTTGTTCTTTGTAGGGATGGAATACCATCTCATTACTACCTTCTGGAACCTTGTATGTTACATATTGATGTGGGAGAGATCAGTGTTTCGCAGAAGACAGTTGAGATCTGTTGGCATGAGAACGGAGCTAGGCATTTTGTCTTAAGATCTACATGTAGACAAAATGCATATGAAATTGGTAGCTAAAATACTAAAAACATAAAAGGTGAAAGAATTTTCAAGAAGAGTGGTATCTGAAATTAATATTGTATAATTAGTATAGGTGATTGTCATTGTCACAATTAGTCTAGTTCAAAATAGTGGTATTCAAATAGACTTGAAGCAGATATGATTAGCTGACACATTTCTTGCTTTCTAGAGCTGAGATACACTTCTAAGGTGGTTCTGTTATATAAAACATCACAAATGTACATATTTTGTGCATCTGTTTTGTTCCTTGGTTTATCTTAAAATGAGGGTTGAGCGACCTCATGCAACTGGAGTACCCACTTACTGTTCAATACTGTGTCTGAAAACCTGTATTATCTGCATGATATTGAGTTTTAATGTCCTGCCTTTGTTACTCAGAATTTAGGCACTTAAGAACTGTTCTTGTTTACAGATAAATGAATACTAATTTGGATCTAATGCTGTAATAGGGTTACTGAGAAGTAGCAGGAGGTAGAAGCAGAAGCCAAAGTGAATATTACTTACAAGTGAACTTCATAACTGTAGATTGTGTGTTAACTATTTTTGACACTTTGCCTCAAGATTTCTTTACAGGTGATGCAAACAAAAAATTGTAGCCTTTAATAAAAGTAGGTGGCCCTTGGAAAAAGTAAGTGGCCTTTGAAAAACAACATCATCCTTTTTTTTTTTTTATCCACAGAATGTCAGAAGATACGTTTGACACTGTCAGGTTATGGATTATAATCCTGTTGTGCGCTTTGCGGTTGGCTATGATGCGCCATCATTTGCAGGCCTACCTGAATTTAGCCCAGAAAAGTGTGGATCAGATGAAAAAGGAAGCTGGCAGAATAAGTATGGTTGATTTACAGAAAATGGTAGGTATGGTTGGCACTAAGGTTACATATTTGGAGTACTCTGACTGTGCAAATGTTTTTTTTTCCAGCTGGTTGCATGTTCTGTGGTAGAAAAGCTGAAATCCAGATGAAGCTTCTTAGACTATATGTCCTATAAAAATAGCACCATTACAGAGAAATTCTACAAACCAAAAATACGGAGAGATGTATCATCTGTATTATGCACATGGCTTCTCCAGGTTGTTTGGAAGTTGTTATAAAAGATCCCTTCAGATGTGTTGTGATGTGTAACTGCAACATGGGAAAGAAAAGGTTGAATTTAGATAGAAGGGTAAAATATTGTTATGAACTATTATTTTAAAGTTGAGGGGAAATTTATGATAAGGAGGTTATATTTTGGAATAAAATAAGAGATGTTTAATTCTGTCAAACCACTCTCAAGTGCACTTTCCTAGTTAAAAAATTGCCTAACTTATTGTGGACAAGGCAAGATTTCTTAGATGTACTTTTTTTTTTATTTTTTTTTTAAAGAAGAATGAAGAAGTATGTCACGAACAAATGAAGGAGTAGAATGGTGTTGTGTGTTACCTACAAAATAAACTTAATTTTCTAGCATTGCATGATCGTGCTGCCTGTTGATCCTACTGAGTTGGAGTGTTGCAGGAGGAATATTAAAGTATACTGTAAGACAAAGACTCTCTCCTAGGATTGTCATTGTTACTTTTGGTTATACTAAGTATCTGCAGGTCCTAAGTGGACTATGCAGTAGTTATTTACAAATGAAATGGCTACAAATTTGCTTCAGAAAAAAAATTAGAAAATACAAGTAACAGCAACTGATTAGGACAGAACTGTCCCAGTTGCTGTAAATGCTTATTTTTGGGAATTTTAATCCTGTCCAAAAAACAGTAACGTCTTCTCTGTGTGGCATTTCCAAAATCCATTTATCCAGTGTCTTCATATCTTCTCTTTGAGAAGGCCATAGTCACTAGATCTAGTCTTGTCTTAAGCAATCATGTCTGCTTTACCTTTTTTTGAAATTTCTACCAGTAAATTCTCTTCTATCTGTCATTCTACAGTGATCATTACTTTTAATTTATTTTGTCATCTTCCATCAATTTTCTAACAATATTTTTTGTCTCATGCTTTTTCTTCTGTTACTGTTATACTACTTTTTCTTCTCATGTTAGTATTTTGATACTTTGTCATTATGAAGCCTTTTGAGGTTTTAGAGGTATTTCCAAAAATGTCATGTCTGCCTTCATCATTTTTGCCACCCTGCATTCTGTTCTTTTCTAAAACCCAATTAGCTTTATTTCATTGCTTGCTTGCTATTGATTTTGTTACTTTTCTTCCTTCTTTATTCGGTCTAGTCTTTTAGGTCAATAGTGTATATAAGATATGTAATGTAACAATCTTGAGAAAAATGGAACAGATTGAGAGCAGAGGAAGGGATTTCAATGAGCCATTGTGTATATCTAAAATAAAGATCATTTAAATGCCGTTATTGGTCAACTACTAATGAAAAATCATCTTGTCATTGTTTTTAACATAATGGTTCACAGTTCACAGTTCGAAGTTTTAAAAATATCTTGCTTTTGGAAAGAGACTGCAATATTAATCAAACTTCCATTTACTTTTTATGAGGCTTTGGACTGTGACTATTACTTCATTTTTGAAATAGGATTTAGTTTGTAAGTCATTGGGAACTTTAAAAACTAAACATTTAGTTTTGTTTCTGGCTATTGAAATAGGAATCTTTGATGGTATGCAATTTGCAGAAGCCAAATTGATTCTCTTTGTTTTAACAGAACTGATACTTCTAATTATTTCTTTTCAGCTCTTCCTCTCAGATTTGTAAATGTCCTGAAACTAGAGTTCATTGTAGGGATTTCTTCTTGAGGTCTTTTGAACACAGTAGGTCACATGGCAAGACGTGTTAGAAAACTCTTATAACAGCTTTAATGCAGAAGTACTGGTGTTTTTTTAGTAAATTCTTTTTACTAGACATGGTCATAGGGATTTGCTTTACTCAGCCTGGACTCATGAATTTTACTCTCTTCTGTTTTTCCCAGGTGGCTCGGGTATTCTATTATCTTTGTGTAATTGCACTGCAGTATGTTGCACCATTGGTAATGCTCCTTCACACAACTCTGCTCTTGAAAACACTAGGTAGGCAAAACTGGATCAACAAAAACATGTTCAGTTTAACGCCTTACTAAAGAGAGTTAGAATATATGGGTAGGACTTGCAATACAGAAACACGCTGTAGTTTCCTGCACTTTAAAACATTCATGTGTGGCTTTAAAGCAGTTTTTTCATTGCTGCTTTTGATATCTTTCAAATATATACTAATTTATTATTGAAAAATTGTGTAATAAAACTAATTAAGCTTTTTACTTCCATTGAAATATTTATCTTTTAAGAAGTATTCTAAAAGTGAGCTGTATATTTAACTGTTGGTTTAACTTCATGAGCATATCTTAAAGGTTTTTTTTTCAGCTTTTTTAGCTTTAGTAGGCTTTTCGATTGGGAATTATGAAATATGGGGTTCAACCCCCACCCCTCTTTTTCTTGTGAGAGATGACTTCCACAGCCTGCCATGCGGTCATGACATTCTTTTTTGCAAAAAGGCAGTAGAAGGAGATAGGCTTTAATAGGCTGTGATTCATTTTGTTCTGGAGTAGACATCTATACCTGGTGAGATGAATTGTACCCAAGACTTACAGGGGTCCCAAGGCAGCTACATTGCAGGATGCGAAAAGGAAAGGTGAATCCTACCCCAGTAGTTTACTCGTATGACCAGGAAACCATACTGATGAATACAGTTAGTATTTACTAAGTTACAGAAAGTTAACATTTTAATGTATGTGTTAAAAATACATCTAAAATGATCTGTTGAGTGATAGAAGTAGTAGAACTTAATTTTATAAAAATCTGTTATTCGTTTCTTTTTACAGGTAATTATTCCTGGGGCATCTACCCAGAACTGAATTCTGACACTCCAGTAGAAAACAGTCTTCCCAGTTCTGTTTCTTCTGAGTCTCCACCTGCTGATGGAAAGATGAAAGTAACAGTAGTACAAATAACCATGGCTTTGGGAAGTCTAAAGAATATTTTCACTCCTCTCCTGTTCCGGGGACTCCTGTCTTTCCTCACCTGGTGGATTGCTGCTTGCCTTTTTTCTACAAGCCTTTTTGGGCTCTTCTATCACCAGTACCTGACTGTGGCATGAACAGGTCAACTGACAAAGCAAGTGTGAGGTCAAATGCTAGATACAAACCCAGGTACCCAAGAGGAGTTGAAGAGAAAAGAAAACTATATATGAAGAGAAAACATATCATAATTGTTTTTAAGCACTTCCTCTGTGTTCTCAGGGTGAATAATCTTAAAATGTTTAAAATCACAACTGGGTTTGTTATTTTTGTTACCCAAATGGTAGGTAACTAATTGAATTATAGTATTGGGACAGACTGACATTATTGTGTGATAGATGGTGGTAAGCATGCTGAAATGATGCGACCTCTGAGTATCTTGGTTTCCATAAACAGCAAGCCAGCCTCAAAAATTTGTGTTTTACACGTTGAAGTCAGTGACTGAACTGCATTCAAAGGGTACTGGTTATAGTGATGGTGGCTGCCTATCGATTTAAGTCTTGAAACTGAGCCATACTATGAAAGGAGAAAGAGGGGATTTAAAAAAATTAATTCTGTTGGATAGCTATTGATCACTTTTCTCCATGAAAAATGAAATAATCCAACAGGACAGGAGAGATACTGTATATTACAGTAAGGAAAGTTGTATAAAATTTAAATTTAACAGGAGTAGATGTATGTACCTGACAGGTATTGCTGCCTACATATTTTGCAGGCATGCTTGTGCAGTAAGAAGAGAGTTATAACAAATATATTATTTCAGTCCCTGCAGTCATTTTGGAGTAATGGCCATCTGTATTGGTGCTAATACTGATCCACAGATTCCATCTGGATCTTTTAAATTTCTTCTTTTGAGCTAGTAGATAAATTCCATTGAATACACAAAATAGTAGAAAATAATTAGTGACAACAATCAAACCTTTCAAAACAAAACAGTTTAATCCTGCTGACTGAGAGTGTATGTATATGTGTAATGTGCATATAAATATATATTATATATTAAATATATAATATATATGAAGTTATAAAATATGGAATCTTTATTTTAAATTACTGAATGTATCTTACAGGGCCGTGGGAGAGGGATGTATGTGTATCTAGTAATTTCAAGATCCCTTTTGAAATGAAAATTAAATTTTTTTTGGAAGTTCAGTTGAAAGGGCTATTTGTTTTTGGTGCCTCTTCAGAGGTACTCAGCTATACTAAAGAACTTACACTGTCTTGGAAGAAATGATCTGCTTAAACTGTTAATCTTGAAATTTCTGCTCTGTCAGATCATCATCTTTTGCCACTTTAATCTGTGTTAACTTGGCCATGTAATAAGAGTTAATAGATCTTGTCTCCAGAAATAGATTTTCTGTATAATAAAACAGCTATATAGTAAGGAGGAGCAAAGCATTAACTTTGCAAGTTTTGCTTACATAGAGGGATAAATTCCAAGTATAAAACCATTGACAGTTTTTCAGATGTTTTGTGTAATTGCAAAACAGAAAGGGGATTTATATGCAGTAGCTTTTTTTAAACAGTTAATATTACACTTTGCAGAGGTCAGTGGGTTTTTTAACTAATACTAGCTGTTTTTATGTTACTGTTCTTTTTCTCTTGAATTTGTGTACAGCTTTTGCATATAATAATCATTTATAAATGGAAAAGGTTAACTAAATATTTAATATGTAGCAAACCTACCATATGGGAAAACAAACTCAATGAATGCAGAAAATCAAGAATTTAAACTGGTGATAAACTATCTTACTGTGTTGAATGCCTTTTAAGTTATTTATTAGTTTATTAAACTGTGTTTAGTGATACGGGGGAAGATTTGTGTACACCAGCCAATACCTACCGCATGCATTCGGGATGTCTGAGAACACCTTGCATGATGCTACTGGTTTCAGCTCAGTGTAGTATTTCAGTGTGACTGGTGCTGCAAGCTTTGTTGTTTTCACACCAGCTTTTTGTAACTAATGGGGACAAAGGCTTAACTGTGAATTGGCCTAAAGAATAATATTTGACTTTATAGATTCAGATCTTAAAACATTCCTAGGAAGTACCTTTCAGATGAACGGTAGAATTACAAAATATGACAGGTCCAGCAATACTGGACTTCCTTATTAGTTCAAGATATATCATTACTAATAGAATTAACAAGGCCAGCTTTTAAGTTAGAATTAGGTGTTCAATGCTAATCCTTTGTTCAGGAAAATAAAACAATGTAAGTGCAATTTGGTTTGGATAGTGAACTTGGCTGAAGACTCTCACTATGTAGGAGATGTAACCTGTTGTTGCAGCCTGAAGGAGTAAATTTTATATAATGGAGAATACTTCAAAATAATGTTCAACATCAGAGTTTCTGTTGGCATAGTTATTTATTCTGCAAGCTTATAAGCACAAGTGAACTGTAGTTATATAGTATCGAATTCAGCAAAGGCAGTGAGTAGATCATGTAGCTGAGCTTCACAGAGCTTTTGCTGAGAGCTCATGCTGTCTTGCTATTCCAACGTCACACTGATCACAATGAAAAATAGGCACCTGGATGTTGCTAACATTAAGATCAATGCTTCTAGCCATTGCTGTTCCATTGTTCTGCAGAACTGAGTGGCTGACCTTCTGGTCAGCAGTCTGATCTGAGTGGGAGATGGTCTTTCATTGGATCCATTTAATCCTTACATGAATCCAGGAGGCTTATGAAAAACTAAAATAAGCCTTTAAAATGTGAAGTGACAGTGAAACTAGAGGGCCTGTATTGCTAACATTTTGAGCAATTATGAGATATACTTAAAAATGTCTTTTGGGATTGTTACTTTAATAGTCCTGACTTCCATATATATTATGTAAGGTTCAAAGCAGTATCTGCTCACTTCTTTAGTAAGTTCTTTTAAAAGAGTAGCTAACAAATTCTTTCTTCTTTTGTTTCATGGAGATCTTTTATCAGCACCTGGGAGTGAAGGGAAAGCATCTTGCAAAAGTGGAAAAACAAGTAGAATCTGACTGAAAGCTTGATAGTTTTTATTCAGGTTTCTGACACATTTTATCTTGCTTTTTCCCCAATGCTTAATCATAGAATTCTAGAATGGTTTGGGTTGGAATGGACCTTAAGAGTCTTCTTATTCTAACCCCCCTGCCATGGGCAATGGCACCAAACCAGGTCACTCCAAGCCCCATCAAACTTGATCTTGAACACTTCCAGGGATGGGGCATCCACAGTTTCCCTGGGGAACCTGTGCCAGTGCCTCACCACCATCACAGGGAGCAGTTTCTACCTAACACCTAATGTAAATCTCCCCTCTTTTAATTTAAAACCATTCCCCTTGTCCTGTGACACTCTGCCTGTGTAAAAAGTTGTTCTCCCTATTTTTTATAAGCCCAGTTTAGTACTGGAAGGCCGCAGCGAGGTCTCCCTTAATTTCTGAGAGATGTAAAGCTGAAATGTGCCTTTGGCAAATAATCCATATTTGTTTATTTCTTCAGTTCAAACCTCCCTTTCTCGGTGATGTGACTTCTTTAGCTTGACTTTGGTCTCTGATCTACAGTGCTTTCCTGATGTCCCTGCTCAGAACAAACTAGGCTAAATTTAGTTTGGTGTTGTATTTTGACTTCTGTTGTTTTGGTTTAAATTAAGCTATTTTGGAAGGATTAGTTCCTTTAAATAGTTTATATAACTTTGAATTCCAGGTGAAACAAACTTGTTAACCATTGTTTAAACACTGCACTTTTTTAAAGTAGGTCCCTTTAGACAAAGTGTTAAGACAGTGATAAATCCAAGTCTTCCAGTAAGCTCAGGGAGGTCCCAGATCTAACACCTGGGCTATTTCTGAGTTAAAAGAAGTTGATTAGAAAAAGGAGAATAAATTATAGCAAGTCTATTCTTCCACTTCATAGGTGAGATTCTCAGGCAGCACTTGTCCTCTGAGATACTTTCTCAAGCTATAGGATTTGCCAGTTTTTGAGGTCTCTTTAGCCACACATTTTTTTCCTCTTCCAGAATTCTCTTGCATAAGAATCAACAGATTAAATAACGGGGAAAAACAGGTTGTATTGGTACAAGAGGACATAATTGTACAGAGCAACATACTTAGAAAAAATTAATTTTGGTGGCAGTTGTTGTTCTCCTCCTTTGAGTCACAAGTACTGCAAAATGGTGGATTCTTCCTTGGGTTTTGAAAAAATGCCACGAAGATACATCAACACAATTACATAACATAATCTCACTCTATGTAAAGGTTAGCGAGTACAGAAATTTCAGCTACCTTCAAAGGAACAATTCAGTGTTGTACTTGGTTACAGTAACTACATCTAAGTGGTAGTAGGGGTCTTGGATGTATCACATAGAAAATTTAATGTGATCTTAAAGCTGTCAGAAGACTCTGCAAGGTAAAAGGCCTTATGCCTCTTTATTCTCAAAACTGTGCATTTTACAGAGAAGATTTTGATCAATTTTTAAATACTATCTTCCTGCTTTATCACATGACACAATGTGCACATTTATTTGACAGACACAACCCCTTCCCTCCCAGACTTAACCCCACAGTTTGTCACTATAAAGTAACTATATAGTTCTAGTTAAGGTTTAAGAATTAAATGCACGGAGAAAACGGAAATCTTGAATGAGAATGAGGCCAAAGAAAATTATGTGTTCTCTTGGGGATATCTTTCTATTATGGCTGAGCAAAATCTAATGGAGGAAGGCAACAGCAGGTTATTTGTATCCTAAATCAAATATTAAATGTGAATCTTTACCATTATGAGTAAGACTGTTATTTTTAGCATCTGCAGCCTAAATCTCAAATGGCGAGCTAAGAGCAATATTTTGACCTCACTGATATTTACTCTAAAGAGCATCTAGGCAACAAGTTTCTGAGGCCAAATGTCTGATCTTGTTAAGCAGGCTGGTGCTGCATGGCTGGTCTGTGTTTTGGGGTGATTTTTGTGCAAGTGCTTCTTTTGGAAGGTTTGCCATGCTTTGTGACTTGTGCAGCACTTGCAGTGAAGTGGATGGCATGTCTCTTCTCCACCCCTGAATATTAAACTAAGAGATCTTTCTCCTCTGGGTGAGATCGTGAGGCCAAGATGTTATTTCCAGGCTGCTTTTACTGACATCTGTATATGCTGCACTCAACTTTTTCCAGTCTCTCACTGTGGACTGCCAGGAGAATAATTCTGCACTGGACGTTGTTTTGCATGCCAGTGTGTAAGTATTTTTATAACTTTGATTTCAATGGCGTTTTTAATGAAAATTATTTTTAATCCTAACACCATGGATCATACTTTCATTTTTTAAATTAATATCAGTGCCTGCAACTAGAAGTCAAACACTTCTACACTAATTTTTTTTAAACTTGATGTCCATACTGAAGTATTCACAAGTATACAGTTTTATATCGAAGTGCAAAAACCACCTGTAAATACCAAACTTCTCCATATGATCACACGTCAGTCAAGAACCTTGATTTATATTTGCAGCATTTCTCTCATAAGTATGCTATCCATGTGAGTGCTCTTTATAAAACACACATTTCAGTAGAGTTTTGAGTAGCTTTTTACGAACTCCTTAATGGTAGGTCATTACTGTTTTATAATGCTGCAAAATACTTTTTAAAACCTGGCTTAAAATTTTTGTGCTTAAAGTCAACCTTGTTCTCTCTATTCATAGTAATTCAGCCTCCCATACATGTTCTAAGCTTCAAGAATACATATTTATAGTATTTTTGATAAAAACCTGGGATGAAGAAAAATGCACCAAAAAATTGTATTTCATAATTACCCATGTAGTTCATACCCATGTCATGATGTGCCAACAAACAGTTTTTATTTTTCCTGTCTTTGGTCATTCCTTTGTCCCATTGTTAACAATCTTGCATATTTTCAGTATGTCAGGTTTACTAGGAGGGATATACATCGAGAAATACTCTAATGTTTCAGTCTTCCCATTTATGTGAGCAAATATTAACGTAAAGATTTCTCATAAGGTAGACTTGTTACAAATTGCACAGGGAACATCCTCCGAGTTGTAAATATTTTACTTTAAATATGTCTCTTTGTTGCTGGGAACACACAAATTCAGTGTTGTTGTTCTGTTAATAGTTTGGTGTTTTTTTTTTTTTTTTTTTTGTCTTTTAAGTGAAAAGCACATAATACTTTCTACTCTACAACAAACCTAAGATGAAAAGACTCCCCTCCCTTCATTTCAGTATTTGACAAACGGGAAAGACTCTAATATTATTTATGTAAATTCTAGCTTCCTCTTATTGCTACATTACTGTTAAAATCCAATTTTTATAGTTACAGCTTTAAAAGTACTAAGACTGTCATGCCTCACAGCGAAGATGGTGTCAAGTGGCATTTGCTTTATATTGATCTGGTATTGCATTACCTGCTGCTTCAAAACAACTTGCCTCCTATACTTTTAGAGGTTCATCAGGATCTGTGAACAGGAGAGTGCAGCACATGTTGGAAAAGCTCTATTTTCGGTTCAGATTTTTTGGCTTTGTTTTTAGTGGCGTGGATAATACTTAGGTACAATTACTGCAAATAATAAACAACCTCCAGTAACATTGCATTCTTTTTGTACACTGTAAAGTGCCTAATCATGGGTGATCCTGCTAGCCCTGCCGTTTGCTGTGAAATTGTTTCCATACAGTTTTTTGGCATATGTAATGTCCGTTTGTGGTTTTGAATTATTACACAGTGGAGGCAAAGAAGATTTTGAAGAAATATTATCCATTCCTGTTACTTAAATGGTAATCTAACAGCTTTGCCCATATCTAACTGGTAATTTAACACCCTGCTGCCACCTGTGCACTGTGTTTCTGGTTTTATGATTGAGAGAGGATTTACAAGATTCTGAAAGGTTGACTTACAAGTTTTGTAGTGACACCCTGGGTGTTAATTATACCCCAGTTGTGCAGGCACATGGGTGACTTCCTCCAGGTAAGTTGTTCTGCTTGAGCTCAGAAAGGCTACTCTGAAGTTCACAGAGTCTGTATGGATTCAGAGCACAAAGAGTACCAAGTGTAGTATGGCTGACTGACACCAAGCAAATCAGCTCCAGAAAGTTACACTTGGTACCCTTTTGTAGAATACTGTTAGGGTATTGAAGAGGGAAACCACCCTTACCTTTCAATTGCTTCTCCACCTCCAAGAATGCAAGAACTGAAGGTGGAACCTGCCTGCTCTGGTTCAGCAGGGAAATTAAACAAGTGAGGAAACATCAGGTGCCTGCTCCTGAGTTAATTATGCATTCTAAATGTGAAGTGCTTCTAAGTTGAGATGGTGTTGCCAATTCAAATCTACCAAAGGAAGCCTTTTTCCAAGAGAGGCTTAAAACAGCATGTTGAGCTTTTAGCTCTAAAATGTGGCTGTAGCAATCCACTGTATGTAGTACACTGTTGGGGAAAACTTGTTCTAGTAAGCTTGCTAAACATTTCCTTACACTATTTATAAGAAATCACATTACTTTTTTTACTGTAGAGCATTTAAGAAGCTGGTTTTGTCTTGCTCAGGCAGCATTTTATATAAATGTGAAAATAGTAAGGATTGGTTTGTCATCTAAATGCCTAAATCCCTTTAACAACAGTCAGTTTTGCAAAGTCGAAGCAAGGTTATACTTTCTTACTCCCTTTTCATTGTGCCGAAATGTTATAGTTTAACTTTGCTTTTATAATGCACACATTATTAAAATTAATTTTATATCTATTAGTTGTTAATGGTAATACCACAGCAAATCTACGAGAAACTGTGATATCTGCTGTATATCAACTGGCCCCATCAACTTGCTTGCCTTTGTAAAGCATTGATCCATGTTGGACATTTAATGTCTACTGCAGTGATGCTCTTATAGTATTTTAGTATCCCTACATGTACTCTGCATGTCTTGCACTTGTGCACTGTAAAAGACTGTTTTACAGTACTTTAGGTTGAAAAAACCCCTTTCATTATTTTATATAGTATTTCCCATATCCAAAATAGGACAATTTCTAAAGCCAAAGATCAATAAATGTTTATTGTCTATCAGTGTGATTTTTTTTTCCTATTTTGTGTGATACATGCCACTTTTTATCAACTTTTGCAAAATCTCCAAAGAGCATATGATAACCAGGCTTTTTATCAGTTTCTCTACCAGTCTGAGTTGATGCTTCTTTTAGAAATAATTGAGTAGACCATTTATCCCTTTCTTCTTTGGAGTATAGCAGAATAAACAATTTTCTATTATCATGTGAACAGCAATCTACCCTCAAGAAACCACTTACAGATTTCATATGAATGTTTTCAGTTTTGAGTGTTTCACAGTCTAAATTTGGGAACAGTTTCTGAGGAAAAGATTCACTATACATCATGGTGAGTGGAAGAAATTCTGAGTTTCCCTGTACACTCGCAGAATTTGTCACTTTTCTTCTTGACTGCCACCCTTCCTAGCAGAAAATCACTTAGGGGTTGTATTTGCTTCTTACAAAAAGAAATACGTTTAAAAACATTACATGGTCTCTTCTATGTGTTTCATCCTAACAATACTAAGAAGGACTATGCTTAATAACATCTTGTAACTTTTGGTTTGTTTTTTTATTTTTGGAATATCACATTTGATTATGCATGCATTTACTTTCCATATGTGCAGCACATGCAAATGAATGATGCCAACGTTGCTCAGATAGTTTTGCAGCAGTAGAAGAAAAATTCCTTGAGAAAACATCCTCCTCTAACCTAAAACCAAAGACCCCTTCACTTACAGGCATCAGTCATGTTGCAGAGATAAGTGTCCCACAGTCCTAAGAAGAGCTAGTCTTGATTGTGTCAGTGGTGATTTGAAAGTGTTCAATGCATTTGAGCTGTGGGTCCACCTCCTGAAAGTGATCAGTCTCAGATAACACGGTGAGTTTATAATCATGGTTAAGAGGTTAATAAGCTCTGGTGGGAGATCTGCTTGCGTCTCAGAAACCAGCTCAGACTTCAGTTTTCTCTGTGCATCCTGCAGCTTGAGGTTGCCCTTGGACTCTGCAATCCCCAGGACTTTGCAATAGAATGGTTGTTTAGCCCCCCAAAAATGGTGAAAACCTTGGCAGTGTGCTGATGGAATGAAAGCAAGCCTTGAATTTCAAGGATTGTAATGATTTAAAAGGTCTTTAGCAAGGAAAACCAGCAAAACTGATCCCATGCAAGCATGCATGATTCACTGCAATAGCCTAGGAACTGCCCAATTTTTTGAAATGTTTTAGCAGAGTATGTTCTGTGGTAGAGGAAGGCCTGAAAGTGTACTCCAGCTAAGAGGGCAAGCATCTGGTACCTGTCCTGTGCTGGCTGGTCTAGGAAGGGCTGAGAAAATGTTAAAGTTGCTGGTTTGATTTGGATTTTATGAAGAATTTTCAAAGAAGGTACAATATGGTTATTGTTTCTTGCCTCCTTAATAGGCTATTACCTGGTGGACTGGAAAATGAATGCAGCAGAGACTGGGAGATGATTCTTTTGGAGGACTATTCATTCTAAATCTGCATTAAGAAATCAAAATTAATTTGTTATTCTGGAGCTGAGGATTAGTGTTTTGCAATCCTGTTGGGTCTGGGGGAAGGTCAGGTTTTTAGTTTGTGAAATGAGAACCACTCTACAATAATAATATAATAATGGCCAGTCTTCGCGAGCGAAGATCCGGGGAAGGTCTTTCCACCTTCCAGCCTGCGCATTGGATTTTTTTAGGTGAGACACAGTGTGCGCGGAACTGAGCCCACCCTTTAATCCTAAGGTTCATCTGCCGGGGCCAAGCGAGCTTGGACGGTGGCAGCGAGGTCCTTAGGACGTAGGTGGGTTACCTTTAAGGGCTAACGAGCCCCACCTGCCCAGGAGTGGCCCTGACCGGGAATCGAACCCGGGTCTCCGCGGTGATAGCGCGGCGCCTTTACCACTAGACCACCAGGGGCTACCACTCTACAATATGTCTCCCTTTAAAGCAGTTGGGAAAATAAAGCATCCTTCTCTCTGAATTATGAGGTTCACAAGCTGCTTTCAGTGGTTCTGAATAACCAACCCATCATGTTCCTCTCACCTGTCAAATCTGAAAGCAGCTTTTCTACAAGGGTAGAACTTCTGTGATTTCCTGAAATGCTCATTTTTATAGAATTAGGGGGTAGAGCATGTAGCAGTTGTGCATATGTCAGAAACTAAAAGAATTAAGGCACTTAGTTGGATTTAGGCTGATCTTTTAGCATCAGAGATGTCTAATTGCTTCCCATTCATTGGTGTTACATTGTGAATAGGGCAGACTTGCAAGTTTTCCTTGTAAAATCCAGTTTTCTTTTTTGAGTGAGCATATGTTTTGGTATCAGCCTGACAAGAAGAGTGAAATACAAAAATCTTCAGCCCAAACATCTGTAGCTTGTCCTGATTGCCGGTTTCCCTCTCCTCATGTTCTTGGAGTGGGATTAAGCTGTTGATGCCATTTTGCAGACAGAATGAGCTCACAGAATTGGGAAAGGGGTGACAGGGAGCAACAACAGCTGAATAATATGTCAAAGAATTTGGGCAGCAATTTGCAGAATGAAAGATACAGAAAGCAGTTCTTCTGAAAAGGGATTTGCTGGCCCCAGGAAAGCACAATGTGATTATCTTTCAGTTCAATGCACAATGCTGGAATCCATCTGGAATATGGGGATTGAATGTCCCTCATTAAAAAACAAAGGGCAGGTTGGAGATGATGTGTAGTGCAGGACAAACAGGACCAATGACATAAAACTATACTGTGGCATGTGTTGCTTTTCATGTGAAAACCTGGGAAAACTGGAGCACTTAAGGACTAAAAAAAAATTATTTTTAGTTAGAAATGTAAAAAAAACCTCTGCAAAGTTATCAAGGGAAAATTCAGAGGTACCTTAGCATGGAAAAAACCCATTCAGAGGTACCTTAACATGGAAAAACCCCATGCATCTAATCTTAGAGGAAGATAGAACAGGAACCAGAGACTGGAACCTGACATTAGATAAATTACAGGAGTAGTAAATGTTGTTTTAACAGTGTCACTATTTGCATTTCAGCTTGAAGCAGTGAATTCTCCAGAGCATGGTCTTCGTGTGTAGGGTGTAGTGGGCGAGCAAGTTGTTGCTCTAGTACTACAAAGGCAATTAACAAAAACTAAAGGAACCGGGGGATCAACGACTAAACCACTGTTTAATTCAGTTTTATTCTAAGAACTGGAATTTTGGAACTTTTGTATTGACAGTGCTGTGGCTGCTTTTCCACATGAAAAATTTATTTGACACAAACTATGCGTAGACATTTTTTTATATTGCATTGGTTTTAATGATTTAAGAAAGTTGTAAAAGATTTTAAAATTAAAGAAGTGGTAATGTAAATTTGAAAATAACAAGATAGAAACTAAGGAAATGGGAATGTTTTATCTGTCTCAAGGCGTAATGATATTTTAGAAAGGAAAACTTTCTCTTACAATTCTTGTTCTAAATGCTGCTGAATGGAACTCCACTGAGCACAGTTTTTAGCTGCAGAGTGGTGTTTTCACTGCAGCAACCTCCACAGGTGCCTCCTATGTCCCCCCATGGATACATCAGGCCAGCCAGCCGAGGAACATTTATTTACCATCTCTCTCTGCATCCTATATTTGTGTCCTCCTCCCCCACAGAGGGACATCAGGCACATATGCTCCCACACCTATCTGTAATTACAGATTTACGCAACTCTTACTCACCCTTTGTATACTCATACAGACTACCACTGTGTGCTCCCCTCCTAGATGATCATCTTCCACATTTTAATTGGATAGTGCTTTTAATGTATATCACAATGTCATGGATTTGCCAACCAGCACCCCACCCTGGGGCTGAAAATAGTTTTTCCAGGTGGATTTCTGGAGCAAAGCCAATCAAAAGTTTAAGTAATGCCTCTGCCAATTACACACTTAAGAAAACGGAAGAGAAGCTGCAGAAGAAATTAGGAGCCATGTAGGGGAGGCAGCAGGCGCCAGGTGTGAGCCAGGCCCTCCTCTTTGCCCCGGCCCTGGGCCAGGGGCAGGTGTGGCACTGAAGCCCCCCTGACTGACACCTCTTAACAGAGTGGAGGAAAGAACTCTAGAGAAAAAAAACTGCTGCAGAAGGACAGCCAGGCAGAGAGAGAGCTCAGCCTCCACGGTCAACACTGGCAGCTGGAGGAGAGAGAAGAGAGTCCCGAGGAAGAGGTGGGGGGGGGGCTCCTCTCCCCTTCTCTCTCCCTTCAGCAGGGAAAGGACTGAAAACTAAAACCCCCTGCCATCTGTGGAAGATTACTGAGTGAGGAGACCCCCTGCAGCTCATGAAGGAGTCCGTGCTGAAGCAGGTGAATGCATGTGAGTGCACAAGAAAGCTGTGACCCTGTGGGAGACCTAAGATGAAACAGAGTCCTGCTGGAGACCTGTGGCCCATGGAGAGAGAGACCTATGCTGGAGCAAGTCGTGCAGGGTAGGGCTTGTGATCCCAGTGAGGGATCCATGCTGGTGCTGCTGAATTTGTGACCCTGAGGGACAGCAGAGAATTGGAAGAACTGCTGCCCCAAGGTGGACTCACACTAGAGAGGTCCATCAAGGACCATCTCTCATGAGGAGGGACCCCACAAGAAATGGACTCAAAAAGCCATTACCCCTTGTATTTGTGGTGAAGACTATGGTGAGGCAAGTGTCCCCTTGCAATCCGTGGAGGACCCCACAAGGCCTGGGTAACCCCCAGCCTCCGGTCTTAGCCCAGGAGGGGGTAGGCCCAGCCCTGAGGTCGACACAGAAGAGAGAGAGAAAAAAAGACAGTTCCAGCTGCCACCAATTGGAGCTGTCGTCCTAGAGACAATAGAAGAAGAACTTTCAAGTGCTGCAAAATTATTTAGAAGATCTGTAGCTCTAGATAGGAAAAGAGACTGCTTCTCCTCCTAAGCTGATACAAGGGGGGAGGGGTATTTCTGTAAATACATAGCACTTTTGCCTAGTTAGAATTTTTGTATATATAGTTCCTTAGTTTTTATCTTGCTAGTAATAAATCCTAATATTATTCTAC